GTGTCCTTCGGTTGGCTCAATGACCTCCACACATAGCTGTCCTTGGTGCTGAATGACTCTCACACATAGCTGTCCTTGGTGCTCAATGACCCTCACACATAGCTGTCCTTGGTGCTGAATGACCCTCACACATAGCTGTTCTTGGTGCTGAATGACTCTCACATATAGCTGTCCTTGATGCTGAATGACCCTCAAATATAGCTGTCCTTGGTGCTGATGACCCTCACACATAGCTGTCCTTGGTGCTGAATGACCCTCACACATAGCTGCCCTTGGTGCTGAATGACCCTCACACATAGCTGTTCTTGGTGCTGAATGACTCTCACATATAGCTGTTCTTGGTTCTGAATGACCCTCACCATAGCTGTCCTTGGTGCTGAATAACCCTTATATATAGCTGTCCTTGGTGCTGAATGACCCTCACATATAGCTGTCCTTGGTGCTGAATGCCCCTCACATATAGCTATCCTTGGTGCTGAATAACCCTCACCATAGCTGTCCTTGGTGCTGAATGACCCTCACACATAGCTATCCTTGGTGCTGAATGTCCCTCACCACAGCTGTCCTTGGTGCTGAATGACCCTCACCATAGCTGTCCTTGGTGCTGAATGACCTCACCATAGCTGTCCTTGGTGCTGATGACCCTTATATATAGCTGTCCTTGGTGCTGAATGACCCTCACACATAGCTGTCCTTGGTGCTGATGACCCTCACATATAGCTGTCCTTGGTGCTGAACAACCCTCACATATAGCTGTCCTTGGTGCTGAATGACGTTAACACATAGCTGTCCACCAATATCTGACTTTGCACCCTTCTAGACACATCTAGTATTGGCTGTGGTCAGTGGTGAGGTGAAGTAGACATGAAGCGAAGGCTAGCTGGATAAAATCCCTGCTCAATTGGTGTTTTGCTGTAGTTATTCTTACTGACTTAGGGGCTCAATGTAGCCCAGCTTTCTCTCTCAGCAGCCAGCCTTAAGGCTTCCTTGCAGCTCTTGTTGACAGCTTGGAGGTCCCTCTTGACTGTCTGTCGCCAGTTCATCTTTGGACGTCCCCTCCTTCCCTGTCCTTCTGGGCACCACTGTAGGACCTGGTTGGCGAATCTGACAATTATTCCAGTCACAAAAACAGTGGTTTTGATAGATCACGGTCTTGCCTAGTGTTTGTTGTACAGTTTGGTGCCATACTTGGTATTCACAAAGGTACAGGCTACAAAATCATTCAGTACAAAATGTTGCCTCTGCGATTGTCTTTAGTTCTGCAGGAAAAAGTCATCGCCCTCCATAAATCCTGACAGATATGAGCCCTTGACAGATTCAATTTGTGCAGAGATTGATGCATTGCTCCTAAAGGAGACACTAAAACTTAAAAAAAAAAAACTAAACTAAAAATAACGCTCCATAAAACCTCTTTACTGACTCACCCACTCCAAGTGCAGAGGGGACCGCCAATTCCCATTCATTGTTTGTCAGGGATTCGATTGAAGTTTATCACTCTATTTATACTAGTAGGCGGTTGCATGCAAAATCACACTTGGCAAGTGACCCAGCTTTCTTGAAGAGTTATCGCTTAGGTCCAGGATCGGTGATGACTTAATAAAAGGGGACGTCTCTGTGCATTTGTTATCTCAGTTCTGTCTTTGTGCATTTCTTATCTCAGTTATATGGCCGCACATGATGTATTAGAGATGTTTTGGAGGGTGCAGAGGTGCAGTGCATGTCTGGTAAGGAAATTGAGTGGAGCACAATGCCTTATGCAGAAGCATATCTCCAGTCTGGTATCCATTTGGTAAGAGTAAGGTGAAGGTAAGGTATCCATTTGATTCTAGCTCAGCTTGCCCCTTTCATCACTTCTCCCATGACTGGTCTGGCACCCTTTCCTAGAAAACTGATTAAATATTCACACTTAGCTATAGGGCTCTCGCTGGTCCCTTGGACAGTTGGAAGAACACCCCCACCCAAACAGAAACTTAGCTATGGCCCTGCCCTGGACCAAACAATAAATGGTGAAAGACTATCCTGCTTGGAAGCAATGGTTGGAGCTAACCAGGGCATGAATAGATGCAGACTTTTTATCCACCGCCAGGCACTACATGTATCATTAGATAGCTTTAAACAATGTTTAGAGTTGGATGTTCAAGGGTTAGGTGTAACCAACAAGTCGTTTGGTGTAATGTAACCAGCTGCGAAGCTGGGGTGTTACTCCGAATTGCGGTTATACCGGCTATACAAATACAGATACAGAATGACATCTGTGGGACAACTCTGAAAGCGTTGTGCTTGAATCCCCTGTGCAGTCCCCGGTACCAGCACTATGGCAGGGACTATCACAGCCGGGACTATCAGGGCAGGATGTACCATGGGCACGGGTCCCCGCATGGACACAGGTTCAGCTCACAGGGGAGGTCAGTCACTGGTGCAAAGTCACAAAAAAATCACTGACACAAAAAAAAAGACAAAAGCACCCAAAAATACATTGTAGATTATGCACTGCCTCCTTTAAATGCACAAGAAATCAACAGCACTGCCACAAAAATATAAAAACACCGAAAAATACAATGTATATTATGCCCCCTGGAAATGCACAGTAAAAGAAGATACTCCTTTGATCACCAACACTGCCACAAAAAATATGAAAACACCCAAAAATACAATGCTGTATATATTAATTTATGCACTGCCTCCTGGAAATGCACAGCAAAATCACAAAAAAAAATTTAAAAAGCACCAAAAAAGTAACTGCCAACAGCACTGCCACAAAAAATTTAAGAAACACCCCAAAAATATCTCTTCATACAATGTATATTATGCACTGCCTCCACTAGAAAAGCACAACAAAAGAGATGATAATCCATTGATCACCCTTTTCTAATTATTCTCTTTAATAATAACATTTTCAACCTCTTACTACCAGTGCCACAAACCACATGCCAAAAACATCAAGATCTGTGCACAAAGCTTCACCCACAGCAAAACAAATACTCTAGTCTTGCAGAATGTATTTATCTGACTATATATTACACTGTATGTCAAAGGTAATGTCATGTTTCTTTGCAGCTCCATTTCCGTAAGTCAAGTTAAAATGCTAAAATGATATGAACAATGTAGGCAACCACAGCAGCTTGCATAAAAAATGAAATGTCTGCTGGTAACGTTACGTGGCATAGGTCTTTTGTTTTCTATTACCTTTTATAAATGCGTTTATTTTCTCTCCTCTTTCCATAGAAGAACCCTTAAAGGCATCCAATGCAATATCAGGGCAGCAAAACATTCTAGTAACCATTTTCCATCAGAATTGTAGTAATTTTTGCTCCATGAGGGTCAATATACATTTGTATATTGGGATAGTGTGATTTCAACTCACCATGTAGATAAATGACTAGAAAATTGGCTTTGAAAAATCGGGTTTCCAAGCCCTAAAAACTGCACAGGATGCCTTTAAGTCTTGCTCCTTTTGACAGATGGGCTGTGACACATGAGAGTGCCTCCACCCTTGTAGAGGAGACACTGCAAATTGAGAGGTTGCCGTGAGCCCTACATAAAACTCCTGCAAAATGAAGCCATATGTCATAATTGTCGTATACCTGTGGAATCTGAGCACTCGTAAAACATCCCTCCCTCCATTTTCTAGCTTTATATTTTGATGTCTCCATTTCTTGGCAGCCATAAATTGAGTTTCTTGGCATCCATAAATTGAGTCCAGATGCCTAAAAAAGATGTCTAAAAGTATATGATATATTAAAGACATCCTACAAAATGTTGATAGACAGTGCAGTATTTTTCCCCTACATATAACAATTCCCCTTCAAAATTGAAGAATTAAACAATAAAACATCACAACCTCCCCTCTAGACATCATAAGCTAGTTGTTATTTTTCCTGAGGACCCAAGGATGAAGAGTGTATCTTTTTTTTTGCCTTTCTAGTTTTTTTATTAATTTTCCACAACAAACAAACAAACTACAAATGCCTCCTTAATTGCAGTCAATGGAAATTAAACATAAATACTACCAGGAACCAATAAGTACATGAAAAAGGGAATAAAGTATCTGGAAATTTAACTGTCTTTTTTTCCTTGTTTTTCTCCCAGGAACCAGCCTCCTCGGTTCATGCGGCAGGACCAGATGGAAGGGAGGGGACCCGGCCCTCGCCCTGGCAGCAGGTCAGTAAAGCTGCATACATGAATATACAGCTTGTTGTGCACAGGAGAAATCTCATCGGAGTCATCAGTCAATTAGGAACTGTTACAGGAACAATCAAGAAGGCAAAATGCAAAAGGCAAAATGCATCACAGTTTTCAATTATTTTTACTGAAGGAAAACCGAAGGAAAACATATTGTTTTGGCTCAGTTTCTTCTTCTTCTCCAAACAGTGATTTCTGATGTGGTCAATGACCTGAACCAGACTGTCTATCACCATGGTAACTGGTGTTGGGTTACATAACGTTGCAATTTCATAGTACGAGGGATTTAAATATATGTATATGAATGTGTTTGAGTAAGAATTAACAGAGCAGACCATATACATGCAAAGGTAAACATTAAGCATTTTCTTTGCAAACGTTACTTTTCTAGTTCACCCTTATTCTTGCCCAAGGGCGTCTGAGTAAATATATGGCTTGTTGTGCACAGCAGAAATCCCCTTTGGAAACATCAGTCAATTGAGATCCCTTACAGGAACTATCAAGACTTAGAGCACAAACTGCAGCACAGTTTTTGTTTCTCTGATTTATTTTCGCCCTTATTCTTGCTCAAGGACGACTGAAAGATCAAGCATAACTTCTAATGCACCTTGCTCACTAATAATGGCTCTTACTCTTAACTCCTGATTTGCCTTGTCCTCAGCAGGATGGTCCTTGTTAAATTTCTTAGTGTGATGTACATCTAGCCTTTTCATGCAAGAAAATCCCACTATAGATATTAATGCAGCTGTAACACTTAGTGTAGATTAGCTGATATGTGCTAGTATACATTTTGTAACTGCTGTGATGTATAAGACTTAGGGACAGGCTTTAGGTAATCATCAGCAGTAGACCTGTAATGATCTTTCTTGAGTAAATTGTACAGTCATCCATTTTCATTTGGTCCTGGATTTCTATTTATTGTAATTTCACAAACTAGGAAGAAAAGGACTTTCTTCAACTGTTGGGGGCCTTGGGGCCAAAATATGTCTTTCATTGAGCATTATGCAGTTGATTAAGAACCTAAAATGTTTTTTTTTTGTTTTGCAAATCAGAAAAAAGTGGACAGGGCGAATCCGAGAAACAACAAATTAAATTGGTGTGGCCTTAGGTAATCATCAATAGTAAACCTGTAACGGTCTTTCTTTCTGGAATAATTGTACGCCATCCATCCTCATTTGGTCCTGGATTTTCTATTTACACAATCAGGGTTTGCCTTGGACATTAGAGGTGTTAAGGGGTGGCTGTGTGTGGGTGGATAGTGATAGATCACTTCAAGTGCTGAAATTAATGCTCAAACCATTACGACTTGAAGTTTTCTAATATTCCCATACAAGCTGACAATATTGATACGGAATGACTTTGATGGCATTGATTTTTTCAAAGCCCATGTTATTACGCATACTATTAGCTAGAACAAGTCATCTTGCACTTTTGTAGTTGAATTATAATGGAAGATGCTGTTGAATACTGAAACTGAAACTGAAACTGTTTTATTCACATTGATTGGCAGCCAATATGCATTGCTTGGCTGAATTGCACAAGTGATTACATGTTAAAATAGCTTGAAAAGAGATACACATTAAAAAGCACAACATTGACGATTAAAATTAAATAGATTTAAAATTCTGTAGGTCAGGTCCATTAAAACAGAGGCGGACTAGACTTTTCATCAGTATGTACATCTATGGAGGAAGCATGTCGGCAGAACGTACTGCAACTGCATGAGACCTGTAATGTATTGTGCATAGCACTTTGGCAGAAGGTCTTACATAATGCATTCGAGTATAGAAGGTTAACATCCCGGCTATAGTTTCCACATGTTGTGCCAAAAAAGATACTGTCTGCAACAGGCAAAATTCTGATGCAACGTTGAGCAAAAATCCAACGAAGAAAATGATCCAAAATCAGGGTTTCACGCAGATGCAGTGCGTTCTGCCAACGTGCAACAAATTAAATTGGTGTGACCTAAGACAAATGAGTGACTCCCCCCCCCCCTCCAGGTACCAGTACAGTCACGGGCGGGGTCGGGGCCGCGGCAGGAACACCCCCACCCCTCCCCCGGGGCCCCCCCAGGGGGGTGAGATGGATGAGAAGCAGGCCATCGAGGAGTCCATCGTCCTGTACGAACTCCAACAGAGAGACCCGGATGCCTTCCCTGCACTGCCGGTAAGGAGTTTCTCACTAGCATGGTTTTCTCAACCTGTAGCTATTAGCTAAGGCCTAGGAAAAAACAGCTGTGTTTCCTGTTTCCCGACCGACCCTTTAGAAGAGGCTGCCAACACTAGTCTTTTTTGGTGTGGACCCCTGCAAGGGACATATTTTTTTATCAGATTGACCTTCTCTAACTCCATGATCTGACACATAGAGTGATTAAATGTCGTAAAGTCGGTTTTCCAACATTGACATTGGAAATAGTGTCCTCATGCAAGTTTATGTTTGTTGGATCACTACAGATCGCTGAAGTCTAAAAAAAAAAGAAAAGAAAAAAGACAATCCCAACCTACTGACCCTAATTTTTTCAGGACTGAAACAGGAAACACAACATTTTATTCTACAGGCCTAAGGAGTTTCTCACTGCATCTAGCCATTAAGCTAACGAAAGGGTATATACGGTTGACCAATGATGATAATGAGCCATTGATATTAACTGTTACACTTAGTGTCATGCTCTTTACCAAAATGGAGTATTTGTTTTCATCATACCATTGACAGCCAGGTAATTGCCAACCACTTGTTACCTGTTGGTCATGTGTTGCTAAGGTTTTTAACGCCCTCTAGTGTAATGTGATGGTACTGCAGGTAGTGCTTGGACGGTTGAGAATCTTGATAATCAATATAAAAGAAATTATTAAAATTAAATAGTTACTGTAGATACATAATGGTACATTATGATACATAAGGAACAAACTATGGATTTTGTAACATGAAAGGACTTACCTACTAGTAGATGATTATCACTTCAAAAATTGCTATCGTTCATTGTGTTTATGTATTTCTATAGTCTTTGAAACTCTTTGCTCGTATATAGTCAGTCTCTAAAAAGTCAAGTCCTTATGGTCATGGATTTTTCTCCGCAGACGTCTAACGGACAAGTGCAACACGTGCAGAGCAACACGGTGTGGGGGAGGGGGCGAGGGCGGGGCATGGGGCGCCGCCACCCCCACCCCTCCCCCTCCCTCCACCACCCCCAGCGACGGGGGCCACAGCATGACCATGGAGGAGGGCTCGCTCTGCAGCAGCATGCAGGAGCTCAACATGAACGAGAGGGCCAGTCCTGGTGGGGACTTCTTCTGTCATGTTTACAACTTACGCTAACAAACAGTTACTATAATTTAAAAAGATGCTTAATTCCGGACCATTAGAAAGATCAGGCTATGTTGTAAACACGTTGGTAAAGATTAGACATCCAGGTAATATTAAGATACACCAGAAGACAGTTACTCAAGTAACAGGATATGATTTTGGAAACGATCAGTGCCACTAGTCAGTGCCACTAGTCAGTGGATGCTACCTAAAACGTTTGACTGTTTCCAAAATCATATCCAGTTGCTTGAGGAACTGTTTTTTTAAATTTAATATGTATCTTATTACCTGGTTGTCTAACCTTCACTGACGTGTTTACAAAATATGGTGTGTTTTACTTTACGATGCTGACCTGTCTCTGACTCCTTTTGTAAATTTTTCAGATGGCGAGCGTATTTGCTCCCCGGTGTCGCACCAGATGGAAGTGCCTCCCATGAAGCGAGTCATGACCCCCACCAAGGAGTTCGTGCCCCGGTCCTCCCGAACTCCGTCTCCTTACCAGAACCCGACCCCTCCCCTCCAGAGTCAACGGTAACAGCTTACATAAGGACATTAAAGCTACTAATGTGCTGTGAAGGGCTACAGTACATGTACCTGTCCTTTGATTGTTTATCGGACCATATCAACAAATAATATTGCTCTTAGGGTTGATTCTATTGTGCTTGAATTATTTTTCTCAGGCTGACGACTATTAAAGGCATCCAATGCAGTTTTTAGGGCTTGGAAACCCAATTTTCAATATTCTAGTCACTTATCTACATACTGAGTTGAAACCACACTATCCCAATGTATATTGACCCTCATGGAGCAAAATTTCTGACAGAAAACAGCGTGGGCTGATTTCGAGGGTACCATCCATGAAATAGAGGACTCATCTTGGGGCTTGTTTCTGCAATTTCAAATAACCAAAGTAGGAAATACTGATTGAAATGTGCTAATGTGAAGCAGTATGTGTCAATATCATAAAGATTGCCTTATTCAGAATATTTCCAGTTTTGTTGCTCTGAAATCGCATTGGTTGCCTTTAAGCCTCAGGATGCAGTTTCTTGTACTTTCATGGAGACTTTCAACATGGCCTTACACGTACATAATGATTTTCTCCTCTCCCCACCACAGTGCCAACGCAGAAATCAGCTCTTCCAACAGCGGCAGTAACCAGCAGATGTCCACAGACAGCACCTCCTCCCCCGCTTCCACCCCCAACACCCCACCACCCCAGACCGTCGCGCCCAACGGGTACGTGCCGTACATGCAGCCCATGCACGTTCCCTTCTACCCCATCATGATCCAAGCCACCGACAACCTGACGGGGCCAGTCAACCTCAACTTTGGTCCCTCCAGGGACCCCTATGGGAACGACTTGCCACATTCAGGTAAGTATTCGTCAGCAGATTTAATGCTTTACAAATTGTGATATACAAAATTATACAAGCGATCACAATTTGTGTTTACATCATTTGCATGCAAATTATTGGTAGGTAAATCAGCCAAATGTCACCTGCTTTTTGCCTACCACTTGCTGGCCATGTCATGGCGATTGCCCGTATACTAGTACTTACCGTTTCTAACTCTCCTATTGCTTGTAGTGTATGTAAAATATCTTTTCTTGGAGCAAGTTTTGCTGTCAAGCTGAAGATAGATCTTGATATTATATGGAACTAATGATGCTTGCTCAAGTTGTTGTCAATTTTATTTTCAGATGTCTCTACGCTTAGATTCTTCTACAACTTGGGCACTGAGGTGAGGGAAATTTACTGAAATGTCAAACTTGTACATAGTACACATATCTGAACGTTATATGTGTTGAAAAAAGGGTAATTTAAAAAAATAAAAATTAAATGCAGATAATGCATGGTACATGGATTCTCTATTACAAGGACAATGATAGCAATGAAATTAGATTATTTTCGATGGAGGCAAGTGGCTTTACAGCTTAATGGAAGAAACTCTCATGTTCATCTCAATGGAAGCAGGGAGCTTATAAACTTGATGATGGAAAATGAAAGAATAAAAAAATTGTGTCCTTGATGAATGCACTGAGCCTTTTTGTTGTCACTGTGCCCGTTTATGTTGCAGTACTATCGCTGCTGCATGAACATGATGGCCATCCAGCACCAGCAACAGGAGGCAGCCATGGCCAACGCTTACTTTTACAACCAACAGGCACAGGGACAGGTGCAGGTACAGGTGTTTTGACTTACTAGTACTATCCAGGGCTCTAGCTAGCTTGACATTTTTTTCTGTCAACCCAGGTTCATCATCGGATTTTCAAGCCTTCAAAAACGTAGTTTCCTGCATTTTGAGAGGCAACTCATGAGAGTGGTTGTTGGTGGTGGTCCTAAAGATGTTTTAATATTTTACCCAAGATTTTTGTTAATTTTGTCTGTCAAGGTTGACGGATTGGTTAAAAAAAATTTCCGTCACATGCCGCAAAGTGCCGGTAATTGACGGAAAAACTGGTGCTGGCTAGAGCCCTGCCCCCTGGAAACTGTTTTTAAGTGCATTTTGAATTTAAAGGATGTGAGCATGAATAAACCATTCTCTCTTTCCCTCTCTCTTACCCAGCAGCAGTACCAGCCTGCCAGCAGTACTGACGGCCAGACCAGCGGCAGCCAGCAGGGCCAGGAGGGGGAAGACCTGCAGCAGGAGGGGTCGGACCAACTCCCACCGCCCAACGGTCAGTCCCAGGACAAGCCCCTCCCCCAGGGCGCTCATGTCTACAGCTCCTACACCCATCCCAGCAATCAGCAAGCTGGCGATTACCACAATAGCAGCGCTGGGTGTGATTACCCACCGAGTAAACCTATAGCTAAGTCGTGCAGTGATGATACTAGTAATTCTAATGATTCTGTAGTAGGTAAGGATGTGTCCGTGTCCAGGAGTAACTCCATGACAAGTGTACAGTCGAGCGGTGACAGTGCTAGTATGAATGTACAGTATGGCAGTGACAGTAACGTTTGTGGTAGTAGTGTTTCCTCCTACGTGCACCCTTCTCCCAACACCCTCCAACAGACGTCTTCTAGCACTACAGTTGGTAGCGAGGACTCCTCCCCGGATTACACTGATTCCGGTGTTGCGTCCGAGGGTAGTGGGTCACAGTCCTCCATACCCCGTCCCACCAGCCTGGGCCCCGGGCTGCCCAAGAGGCATTACATGGAGCACCGCGGGTCCCCGAAACTGATCCCGGGGAGGTGGAGCACTCCCGAACGCTCGGGCAGTAGCGACAGCCTGAACCAGGAGGCGGTCCACACGGGTAGGCCGCCGTACGGGCCGAAGCGTGGCGGCCCACGCGACCGGCAGCCCGGTTTCTACCGTCCCTCTGGTTACTTCTCCGCGCGCCCGTACATGTCGCAGCAGCCCCCGCGCCGAAGTCAGTACGAAGGCCCGCCCCTGTACCACTCCCACCAGCTGTACAACCCTGCAGCAGTCCGCTACTCCAACGTTAACCCCCCGCCGCACATGTCCCAGCCTCAGCAGTACTACATGAACCAGTACGCCAATCCCTCCCGCATGGCTCTGCATGGCAGCATGGGCGGCCAGGCCGCCAGCATGTACGGCCGGGCAGCAGGCATGTATTCGCACCCCTCCCAGCAGTTTAATAACGTACCCCCCGGTGTTTCCTCCGTCACCTACCCCCCCATGTCCCCCAGCTTGCATGTACCCGGTGCCGCCGCCGCCTTGCATGCGCCTAACATTGCTTCCTCCCCTTCCGCCACAGGTCAGTATTACCCCGCCCAGGCCCCCGGGCCGGTGGACCCCAACCCGCCCGGCTCCCAGGGTCCCGCTCCCATCCCCGTGCCCTCCTCCAATGCTGCCTACTACACCGCCCACCCAGGAGGCGACATGCCCTCCCAGCAGCACTATGCATCGACGTACGACAACCAGCCCAGCTACCAGTACCCAGCTACAGTAGGCTCGTGGCAGCCTGCGCACGGCGGCGTTCCCTTATACGGCAGCCCCAACAAGGTCACGGTCGCTTATGCTACCAACTCTCCACCGGTAGGGTATCAGGGATACGGTGGGGGCCCTCAGATGTAGGGGGTTGTAGGAGGAGAACAAACCTAACCGTTAGCATGCCTTTCTTCAGGTCTCTGTTCCAACACGATGTTGTTGAAAAGAAGGTACCAGTTGTAATAATAGTGTTTCAGTGTTATTTATATGATAGCTTGTGGTTCCCTGTACATGTATGTTGTGTGTATAAAGGTTCGGAAAGCACATTCCATCCTCCCAGTTGCAACAAAACCAGGCATTGTGTTTGTGGGTGTTGCTTCGAAGCTGTGATGAACAGTTGGACACCTTATTACGACATTTTATATAACTTGAAGTTCTTGTTAAGCTGTAGGTGTGCCTGACCCTCCGTGAGAATTCTTGGCAGAGGTTGGTTGATGGTTATTGACACAATTAGATGTTATTAAAACTTTATGGATAAATTTCCAACTGTTTTTTATAAACAGCAGCTATCTGCCATTCTGTCTAAATGTTGATTAAACTCTAGGACATACCGTTGCTTATTTGGTGGTTATTATGTACACAATTAGATATTAAAACTTTATGCATAAGTTTCCAACTGTTTTTATATTGAAACAGGAGCTATCAGCCATTCTGTCTAAATGTTGATTAAACTCTAGGACATATTGTATGTTGCTTATTTGAGACATCCTTCACAAGCAATATAGAACTCCTCCTGTTACAAAACCCAGGCTGTGTTGCATGCAGTACCCTCGGTATGTCTTCTCATTATAGCTAAGCGATGCAGCATGTGCAGGAAAATAGCTGTATGTAATACTTTGGAAAGTTTCCGAAATTTCATTGTTCTGATGTCTACAGGCCAGGTTGGCTGGCATATGGCAGTCGAAGCTTTACTGTATCAGTAATAAAGTGTTGAAGCAATATTCAGGGTTGGAGTAAACACACAAACTCCCTACCCTGCCCATTCAACCAACCTCGAACAGGCATTCTTGTGGAGGGTCATTCCTAGCCTGAACACAGTAAGATTAAAACTGTTGTGTTGTCCAGTTATGAGAGGCTTGGCCTCTCTATAGACAGTGTTGTAGATGTTAGAGAAGTTGGAGCAATGCAATCATGGCCGGTGTGTGATCATGTAGCTGTTGCATTGTAGGTACACTATCCTCATTGGTCAGGGTCCCCAAAATGCTGTTTGCTGGCAAATCAAAACTAGTAACTGGCACTTCTTGAACAGTCTCTGAGCCAATTAGAGCTCTTGTTACTCGTATGACTTTTGGCCAAGATTCTACTGTGAGATAAGCACTGATTGGTCGGAAGCTACACCATACCAAGCCTTGTTGTTACTCTGAGCCAATCAGAGCTCTTGTTACTCGTATGACTTTCAGCCAGGATCTCACAGATTCTATTGTGAGATAAGCACTGATTGGTTGGAAGCATAAGGCCATACCAGATATGGATTGCAAGGTCTAGGAGTTTTACGGAGGGAAAATTGTAAAAAGTGACAGTTGCAGGTTGATTTGCCAGGTTTACTACAAACAGCTGCTTGGGTGTCTGACTAGTGAGGATAAGCACATGTTAGCACCTCCATACTGTGTACAAATGTGTAGAAATATTTAACATGTTAAGTTGGTTCTCGTCATCATATTGTATTATTGAAGCCTTAAATGCAATAAACTTTAGTTAGTGATTATTCTTATAGGTATGCTGTAGTATTTTCCTTCCAACTTCTCCAGAATGTATTATGTCTTTTGTGATTTAAAGAAGGAAAACCTCACTTAAGTTGTGTTAGTTAAACTTTTCAGCTGTTGATAAACTGTTTTAAAAAACGCTGTTAGTTTAAACACTGAAAGTTTATATGTATATGTTGTATGGCTAAGGAGGACATTTTGCTAGTTCTCCTCAATAAGAATGAACATAGAGCACAAGAGCAATGTGGAAAACACGAGTGAAACATGTCATGTTGATGAAGCTTACAGAGAGTGGACTAGAGTTGTGGCGTGTTGTTGCAGAAAGTGTATACTGTTTTTTTTTCTATCTTAAATATGAGGTAGTATTTTTTTTAGTTGCTTAATTCTCATCATGAACAAGCTTGAGTAATTTTGGTCATGCCTCCAGAGAGGAGCCAGCTTTATTTGTTGTTTTGCCTCTTGTAAAGAAAAAAAAATGCATGCGAAATGTTAAATAGAGAAGATAAAACGTATCACTGGTAAGAGATTCCAGATGAGTTTGCCCCGATGAGTGCCTTTGATTTGTTAATGACCAGATGATGATCACACCTTATTAATTTTAGGCAGAATCTGAGACCATAAACAGATGCTTTATTGTTGTTCTGCTTTTTTTTGTTTTGCTTACCAGATGGCTAATTTGTCGGCACAATATTTATTGCAGAAAATGAGAAATGAGATTGCTGCAGGAGATATGAAAGCCTTATTTATAGGGTGCAATAAGAAGAGATTATGTACAGATGAGAGCGTTTTTTGTTATAAGAAGAGAGATGTATATGAGAGAGAACATGAAAGACAAAGCAGTGAAGTCTTCTTTTTTTCTAAAACTTCAGTTTCAAGCCATTTATTATTTCCCTGTTGTTGTAATGTTGTTCTGGTGCGTCACTATTGCATGGAATGGCAGCTGACATCCTCAGCAAAAGAACTATTTTCAATACAAAAGTACAGTGCAAGTTGTTTTGGCTTCAATAAACTTTTCCATAGTACTTTGAGTGGACTGAGTGTCATGATTTGTGAGTACATTGTCAAGGCAGGGCTTATGAGTTACATGTACATGTAGGTACCCTTTGGACAAGACTTTATCTGTACCAGTATCAGTATACATGTAGCTGGACAGGTATAACTGCCTTGCAGCTTGGTTCTGTTACCTTTCCAGTTTATCTTTGTCTTTCTTTGTATAATATGGATCCCAAACTGTCGCGGCATATTTATGATGATTTATGCAAACTTCATATTCTGAATGATACATGACTTGTGATCTCTTTATCATACAAATATCATACATGTTAGTTTGGTCATATGGTTATTCAGAAAATTATTCTTCTAGTCCTCTACTGTGATCATACAATCGAACCAATGAAAGACAAGTTAGTCTTTCTTGACAGATACTATGTGTTTCACAAAGCCTTTACAAATCAGTGCAAACCAGTAGTAATTCAGACTGTTGAACAGTAGACAGCCAGAGACGTAACAGAGAGACACTTCAAGGGGCAGTTCGTAAAATTCCTCGCTTGTTGCCATCAGCTGGACCAGGTGGAAGGTCGCGATGGCGGTCACTGCGACACGGGCAATGAAGAAGGTCACCAACATGACGACACCATTTACTGTGTAGTACTTAGTGTTCTTGTAGCCAAAATCCAGAAGGAGATATCTGCCAAAGTGAGAAAGAAACAAAGTGATGAGCTAGTAGCTTTGACAATGTAGACGTACCAATTTGTCACTCACACTCACTCATATTTGTCAAGAAAGACTACATGTAACTAGCCTTTCATTGGTTTGATTGTATATCACTGTATACTATTGGTACAATTGCTATGAATCATACAACATCAATTCGTAGACAGTGAATTTTGTTTGGCCATGAACGTGCCAAGGAAGTACATTCTGTACATCACACGTACACTCTGTACTTTCCCAAAGGCACAAGATCGGTGACATTGCAGGGTTCGAACCCAGGACCTCATGGTTCCGAGCCGAACGCTCTGTCGTTACACCACGACACTTTTTACAGCAACCTCAAACTTTTGTCATTACTGTTACAGTAGTATACAGCTGAGAAAACGTCATATTGGGAGGGAGACTTGTATTTACCTAAGAAAGACACTTGGGTTGGACAGCTCCATCATAACAGTTGTGTTGCCGTAGAATGCCATACAGGGGTAACTCTGGGAGGCAAGAAATGGTGAGTAAACAACTCTTTAACACAGGACTGACTGCAGTTTACTTTTGCAGTATGACAATGGCTTTTAGCCTGAGTGTCAGCCTTTTTAGCTTTTGTCTGCTCCCCACAATGCGCTACTGGCCCTTTACTGAAAGCTAAAAAGGCTGACTTTACCATCAATGCTTGAAGAAAATTGCTGAGGACACTTCAAACTTAGTAGCCTGGGTGCCATCCTCCACAGTAGTTGCCAACTGGTAAGCTAGCGACATTGGGGAGTGGGCGAATACTACGGGAGATGGCACCCAGGCTACAAAGTGGGGGGTTAAAATCATCTTTATTTCAATATACATGTATATACAACATGACTCGTTGAAGTACACCTAGGCCAGCCCTTTATCTCATTAAGAGGAGGGCGCAAGGTTAGGGTACATGTACAACAAAATATAGCCTTGGTTAACTGAAGGATTTTACCTACCATTCCAATATATGCGCAGTACAGAGACATACAGTGGTGGGCGACGTATATCTTGATTGCCAGCTGTGTGTGAAGAGCCATCAGCAGAAGGTCTGTAAAAGGATGCCCACATACATGTAACTGTTACATGTACATGTAGCTTGGTGACAATAAGCTGGTTTGTGGTGACGTAAAAAAGTAAAGGCCACTAACTTTATAACAGTTCTTGTCTATATTCTCCAAGCAGATCATACAGTGGCTAATGGACACTCCCTTTGTCAATAGATACTGCCTTGCCACCGTATGATCTGCTTGGAGATTACATGTATTTCTTGTCTCACTCTCAGGGTGTTCTTGTTTCAGGGCCCTACAACATTGACAAATAACACCATTATTCACTCCATTAAAGGCTTAAATCAGACTAACAAACTAATTCAGATGTAGTTTCCCTTTAGATTTTAAACTTTGCACCCTTTCAACATAGCAGGCTTGGTGAATGTAACAAGTAGGGATATTTTCACTCATAGTATCGCATCAACCTACTACCAATGTCCTTGGTTATACACTATAATGTCCAATTTGCTCATATTCACCTGTGCATGCATATCCCATGTAAATAGATGCCACCAATCTGACCCCAGAGGATTCAAACCTGGTGGTGCAAAACGTAAGAATAATGGGCACCACCTTTACAGGTATTTCATGAGTAGTAGATATGAATAACACAAAAATTACACATAATCATAGCTATAGTCGCCTTCATAAAATTGGAATAGTCAACGAATCAGAACTGTGTAATAGTCAAGTATGTAACTTTTCGACCAGTTATATGATCTGCATTACAACAATTTCCTTACCACTACTTGCTGACTGACATACATACACTGAACATAATCTCCAAGCAGATCCTAGGGTGGCAAAAGACAGTATCCATTGGCCAGAGAGGGTCCAACACGCCACCTCTCTGGCCAATGGATATTGTCTTTTGCCACCCTAGGATCTGCTTGGAGATTCATTGAACAATCCCCAGGACAGATTTGAAATGGTGGTGACTCACCAGACGCCCCCTGGCGGCAGCTCTGTGCACGTGTAGTTGTACCAGGACAGGATGGAGGCGGGTACAGCGTGACAAATCACCTTAAAACTGAGGGAAAAGATATTTTTTATACCTTCGCCAACAAGGTTATGTTTTCAGTAGCGTTTGTGTGTGTTTGAGTGAGTAGCGTTTGTGTGTGTGTGTGTGTGTGTGTGTGTGTGTGTGTGTGTGTGTGTGTGTGTGTGTGTGTGTGTGTGTGTGTGTGTGTGTGTGTGTGTGTGTGTGTGTGTGTGTGTGTGTGTGTGTGTGTGTGTGTGTGTGTGTGTTTTACCACGATAACTCAAGAAGCTTCAGACGTCTTGTTATAAACCTTGGTAGGTGGGTAGGTCTTCATGAGACCTACTAAGAAATGATTAGATTTCGGGCCCCCTGGTGACTTTCCTACATACTGCAGCAGAACCTCCGGTTTTGATATCTCGTGATCTTGACATGCTAGGGTCACGAATTTTGGAGGGTAGATAGCTTGTGCGCTAGGGAAGATGTGACATTTGGGCCCTCTAGCAGCTTGTTCTGGAACTGCAGGGCAGTCTGTTTGAAACGTTGTTGAAGATAGATCGGTTTGAATTCGAATGGTTTCACGTACAAAGCGTATGTTGGGAAATGAACGAAGAAAACAACAGAACTCACTTATCGTCCACGGACACCTGTTTTTCCCGGGGAAAAGACCGGTACGTTACAGAGAATCGCCCGAAAATTTCCCGACTCAGACGAAACGCCAGTAGCCACGTTAGAAACGAGCAGACAGCGATCAGCTGCAGGGCATAGGTAGTTTCTATCGCCATCTTACTACCTTCGTTCTACACAATCTTCTAAGTAATGCTAACCACAAAAACCTCACAGAAGTGCACTGGTGGACTCTGCGCTACAGGTTTGAGCAACAAAGGTCAGCATAACACGCAGTCCAGGCCTGGTCAAATGAGATCAAAGTCCGAAAGGTAAAAATATCGCGTAAGGGGACTGTGGGCTTTAGTTAGATGTTAAAAAAAAATTAAGGGCTCTCAGTGGCCAATATTCAAATGTTGTCACATCGGCGCATTTCTGTAACCCTTGAGCCACACAGTTGTGCAAGCACTACAGCAAGGGGCTAGCCCGCTAATAATGTTGTGCGTTTGACCTTGCCACACTCTTTCTCATAGAGGCTGAGTGCTAAGCAGTATGTACTGTTCTAAAGTCTTTGGTATATATGGCCCGGCAGTGTCTTGAACTCAAGACCTACCGGTTATACAAAGCGAGCACTCTTCCCTATTGAGCTATTGCACCGATTCAAACCTCCTTGGAAATACCAGTGTTGCTATACATTTGTAGATCTATGACGCCACCGCCTAAGATCATAAACCGTCAAGTGATGATAATAATCTTGGGCTGTAAATAACGCCACCATGCGATGTGTTTTGGTACTTTTCAGATGCCTTACGTTTACATACTAGTACGTTACTAACAACGCTTTCAAATGTTTTGGACCACTCTGGTTATGTTACCTACGATGCCCAAACTTTGGATGTTAGGACACTAAATAAGTCTTGAATTGCTTCTAGATATGTAGCTCCATAACACAATGATTACATCACCCAATTGACATTTAAAACCCCTTCCCTTATCACAAGCGACAAACACAGATTCGTACTAGAATGGACTGAGTAAACTAGGGCGTTGTAATAAAAGCCACTGCTCAAACGTTGTAAAAATACGTTCATTGAAAATCTCTGCAGTCAACGCATCATTTTCACCGGCTAGAAAAACAAGTCGTACGGAATAGTTTGTGCTTATAAACCTGCATTTCTCCTCTGGTCTCTCAGCCACTGACGAAAGCTGGTGGATACCAGCTGAAACGTCTGACCGTTTCCAAAACCATATCCAGTTGCTTGAGTAACTGCTTTTTGGCAAGTCGTACGGAAACACCTGCCCGAAAGAAAAATGGCGCGTTTCATTCCACTGTTAGCCCTTCTGTCTGCGGCATTTTGTCTCGGCGTGGCTGGCGTGCTATCAACGGCTGATGAACGGATGCAGAATGAGGTAAACTGACACAGTTTAAGTGTCAGACACAACGTTTGCTAAACAGTACATTACCTTACTGTGTCCGCCTGCTAAATGACAGTTAATGTTATAACAGAATTTTAAGTCGTGATACTGACAGTAGTGATTATCTAGGATTTGTGACTTGTTTTAATCCTTATTTGTCATGTATAATGCTGATAAGTCTAAGATTTTGAATTACGTATATGTGTACAGAAACCGCAATTTAGCACTGGTGCTTTAAAGGTTTTTTTTTTAAATTGAATAAACCGTTCAAAAGGTAGAACCGTCGGACACCGGTGACGTTGCCAACCTGCAGATGGCGTCTGAGTGGGATCTGGCGCTCCACAGGGCCAGGCAGACGGACGATTGTCGCCTGGCAGGTACATGTACAGTACCGTCCTCGATATACAATGTAGTTATTAACCAACATCACCGTTACTATCGCGTTTCTAACCCGTAATCTAACCCGTTACTTTCCTGTTTACAAACGCGTTATTATCGCGTTAGAGTTGTGAAATGACGGAGTATTCGTAACCTCATGTGCGAAACACACTTTATTCTCAGTTTGTGTCCCCCAAAACGACTTACGTGTCCACGCACATGCTTGCAAAAATAGGCAGAACTTGTGAAAACAGATAGACATGGATTTACCGGTAAGTTTCTAGCGTTGATAGCCCATAAATTTTTGGTCTGACCTTTTGATCAGTACAAGAATGGTGTCTTAATAGCCTCTACCAGGCTTCGGGAGGCGGATGTAAAGAGTAGAAATCGGCCAAAGAGAGAGATAACATGCCAGGGAAGTTGGTCTGGTAGAGAGAACTGTTTGCAGCACCCGAACAGTTCTCTCTACCTGACCAACTCCCCTGGCATATTATCTCTCTCTTTGGCCGATTTCTACTCTTTCCGGCCGCCTCCCGAAGCCTGGTAGAGGCTAGTAGAAAACTACCTCCATGGTCTGAGGAAGATGGCATCCATGTCTTGAAGAGACCACCCTATTATTTATGGGTAACAAGACCATTTCCCATCCCTTCCAGGTTACATAAAGAGAATCGCGATGCCGTGGTGTCACACGGCCACCGTCCTCATCAACGCCTGCCGCGGACACTGCGAGTCGCAGACCTCCCTGTCCTCTTACGCCACCGTGCAGGCCTCGGGGGGACTGCAGGTCTCCACCACCAGGGCAAGCTGCTGTACCATAGCAACTACTCACCAGGTGAGCAGCGTGTTGGTGGCGTGGAAGCCAATCATCTCTCCCTTTTTCTCTCTCTCCCTCCCTCTTTCTCTCCCTCTCTATCCAAGTTGCTCTCTCTATGCCTCTCACTGTCACTCACTCTCTCTGTCTCTCTCTTACTGTCACTCTGTCTCTCATTGTCACACACATATACACTCTCTGTCTCTCTCCCTCTGTCTCACTCCCACACCCTCTCTGTCTCTCTCGTACAAGAAAAATGGAGATGAGTGGTGATTTTTTTGTCAAACCGCAAACATAAATGTAGGCTGTCACAGAATTACCCCCTGCCCCATAAATTTTGAATGGGTCTTTCGTTTATTTACTCTTTCCTGTTGTGTATTCCAATTGCTATATTTTCCAGTGCGCTTTTGTCATTTCGTCTTACTTGCTATCCCTCCTTTCAGGTGTCTTTCAACTTGGTGTGTTGGAACGGTGTCCGGACCTACACTATCGAGTCTGCTGCCAGCTGCACTTGCGGAGTTTGTGACTACAACCAGTAATGTTTGGGTCAGGGGTCAAATGCACCAGATAGACACTTAGGCCACAAGAAATAGTCATGCCTTCAGGTACCAGAGTTATCAACCCATTGCAAGGATAGAGGTACATCTACTACAGGCATACATATGGGCAATTATCGGTCTAGCTGCTTGAACAATGTCAGGAGTCCATACTTTTCTAAAAATTTTTATTATTTTTTAAAATGAAAAACAATTTAATCTTTGAAAAAAATAGTGCTTCAAAGAAAATACAGCTATTGCTATATTCATCAGTATTGTTATATAAAAAGTATTGTCAAGAAGATGTGACAGAACTTTGAGTAAATACAAGGTACAATAATTTTGTTAGTGTGATATAAGGGTGTAAACTAAGCTTTCTAGTGATATATAATTCAAGGTGATTGATTAAATATCAACAGTACTGCACTATAATCTATCTATACTATGCCCATACATAATCTTTTACCCTTCACTGACATACTGACATATGGATAGTGAATGTAACTGTAAGAACATATGCTAACAATACAATGCATGCAATAATTGGACATATTTCTTAAAGAATGTGTGGTCTCACAGACTCTGGTAAGCTGTGTTTGTATATCTGGTCACTTTGAGAAGCAAGCATCACATTCCAATAAAGGTCACAGTGCTAGTTTGCGTGCATAAACATCCGTCCAATGTGGGGCATTTGGCAAGAACTGGAAACTGTACAACAGTCCTGCACTGAAAGCACACTAAATAAAAGTATGACAGGTATGCTCAGGTCTGGAGAGACTACTATAAAACCAACTCAGACAAAGAAGTCATCAAAGTCTGCCTAATCTCTAGCATGTTCTCACGCATGCTCTGATGGGTTGCGAACTACCAAAACTATTCACCAGATGGTCCCCCCTGGGTTTGCTGCATCCTGTGTGTCGGCATGGCTGGTGTTCAGATATGGTAGGTATATAGGAGCCACAATGCACATAGGATCATACCTACACTGCCGCCCAAAAGGCAGCTCAGGCAGCTCTCTCCAAATATGTTCACGCCTGTCATACACAAAAACCTGTTGAAATAGGCTGGAGTCATCACCAATCAGGCATTTGTAGTTGACCAATATGTGGAGCATGTTTTGGAGTACAAAGAAAGCTCGATCTTCAATCTCTGGATCATTGTCCTCAAACTCTGGGGCTGGATGCTCAGACCAGCTGTCTGCTTCTGTATCGTACTCCAACATGTTGTAGAAGCCAGGATCCGTCCAGAAGATCTTTGTTCCCATGGCGACTACTGGACCGTATTCAACGTCCACTGTAGGACTGTAGTCTGACAGGGCTTTCCTGGACCACCGGTCTTCACTCGGGTCGTACCAATGCATTTCTGTATATGTGAAGAGGTAGATGCGCCGATTGCAGGATACTGCAAAGGCGACGTCCAACTGCTCACCATCTTCTGGCATTGCACAGTTGTGCCACTCATTTGTCTGCTGGTTGTATTTCTTGAACGCCATCTCTGGTGAAGTCACAAGGTAAAAAAGTCCATCGATATCCATAAGGTAGTCATTTGGTAACCATTCCATTTCTATAGGTCCTTCGGACACGGTCGACTTTTGTTCCCACTTGTTCTCAACATGGTTGTATTTACACAGATAGATGTTGTGTGAATCTGCAGCTAACACATAGATCTCATTATCGTGTGTAACCACACCATTATAGGTATATCCTGGTAGGTTGTAGTCACACCTGATGTACTTCCCTTCTCCTGGGTTCATCCACAGCATCTTTTTTGCATCAGAGTTTTTAGACAGCAAAACCATTTCCATGGTCATCATCCCAAGCCTCGGCTTCAGGTTGGGGTTCCTCTGTACCTCATTCCTGATGACCTCGGAACTCCCAGGATCCTCCCTGATCAGGGGGTGTTCCAAGATGGCTGTCGTGTCATCTGAGGTCAGCAGGTTGAAGCGGATGTGATGGAGGATGCTGGGTAGGTGCTGCAGTCTGTAGGGAACAAGGTAATGTTAAAGCCAGAGTTTTGGGTCATAATTTTCATCACCAGAAAATACTGGGATGTTGAATTATTTGACTAAACAGTCCAAAATCAACATCCATGTGCATGTCATCAATAGTATGAGGTTTCTTCAGTAATATTATGTAATTATCAGCTAACTTCATCAATAAAAGATACCTGTATAACTAGAAAAGTAACATTTGCAAAACAAATGCATAATATTTACCTTTGCATATGGTCTGCTCTGTTAATTCTTACTCAAACACATTAACAGATACGGTGACAGGAGCCAAAATCCAACACCAGTTACCATGGTGAGAGACAACTGGTTCAGGCCACTGACTAGGTCAGAGGTTACTGGAGAAGAAGAAGAAACTGAGCAAAAAGAATATATTTTCCTTTGGTAAACATAAACATAGTGATGCCCACCTGTCCTCCCTGCTGTGCTGCACCCATCTCACCACAGCCTCCCACACTTCTGTCTCCTTTTTAACCTCCAGCTCATCATGGCTGATGATCTCAGTCAGCTGATCCACACTCAGGATGCAGAACTCCTCACTGGAGGAAACCTCCACAAAATGCTGACATATATACTGTAGACAAGAGTTCAGAACAACATTCGCCCCGAAGACATCAGCAAACTTGTACAGGTCCACACAGGTGGAGCGCTCCACGTTCATGGCCATGTAGCTGCTGCAGGTGTCTCTCACATAGTCCAGCTGCAGGAGGTCGGCTGCCTGGTACAGGGGCTGCACTCTGTCCAGGGACACATGGAGGGTTCCCGAGTAGATGTAGCTCAGGATCTCCTCAAACATGCCTGCATCCAGACCCTGTAAAACGACCGTCTTCTGCCGACTTTCCGCCATGTCGCTTGTAAACATGGCTCTGAAGTAGGGGCTGGCCGCGGACAGAACAAGCCGATGGCAGGGAAACCGCCGGCCCTCGACTTCAAGGACGACATCCTGCAGTTCCCCTTCCTTCTGTAAGTCACCCACAGCTCCAAGAAACCCGTGCAGATAGCTCTCGTCTTGGTAGGAACGAGAACGAACTGAGCTGACGTGCGTTTCTTGGGCAGCGGCAGCCATGATGATGATGATGAAGGTGCTGTACCTCCCAAGGGGAACACTCACATTCCTTGATTGACTCACATATAAGGTCTCATTCATGAGTTTTTCCATACATTAGAAACCATGCATTAATGAGTGACTTACGAGACCGTGTTCCCTATGATCCTACATTAAATCAATTGATATCTTTCATGCTATGTTGAGCACACTTACTCTACGTCTCATAAAAAAATTGCCAACGACTTCTATACACACAATCCTGTTTTATGGGAATCACAAACTGCACTTAGCAGCTGTCCGCAAGAGGCCCTCCCGCGCTGCAAACCTACGACCGCACAACTCACAACAATGGACTGTGCACGTCCGACCTAGCGCGCGGCTGCCGACAATTACGTCCTAATTTCATCAGTTACAAACAAGCTTTCACCGCTTTGACGTTTTACATCAGTTGGGATGGCTAAAGGGAAAATTCTCACCAATAAAAACACGCGTTCATACAGCCGTTTAGTTTTTGACTTGGTACTCGGTACACTCGGAGTAATACATGAATGAGACCATAATCAACGTACATGTAATTCTCACATCACTGAGACGCCAAAGTAGCCTGGTTTAATACCAAACCTATTATAGCTCCCGAGTCCTACATCCTTTCCGCAAATAGATATAGGACTCGGGAGCTATAATAGGTTTGGTAACCAGGCTAACACCAAAGCCGACAAGGTAGTAAATGTAACAAAGTTGTTCTAGAACCCGTTTTTCAAACGAGTGGAGGTTCTGTAACATCCCATCTTTATTCCACCCTGGCACCCAGACGCTTGAAAAAATCCCGACATTTTTTCGCTGATTTGCGCTCTTTTCTAGTTTTCACTATTTTCTACGAAGGCCCACAACGACACTTCCATACACCTCTTCTGTGATATACTAATACATTCCATACCGCTTTTCCGCGGCCCTTCCATACCGCGCTGCTACCGCATTATGACGTCTATAATGTTTATGACACATGTTTGATTGATAAACACACCCCTTCTAAAGTTTGCAATGGTTCGGTTTGTCCTTGTTCAGTACGATTTGCACTGTACGAAAATTGGGTGAAATTACGAGTTGTTTGACCTGAAAAAAGCATAACGGTGATTGAGAAAGATTCTATAGATGCTAATGTACAGAAGTCTACAGTATTACTTCATTTCATCCTATGACAGCCGAGAAAATGAGCTCTTAAGACGACGGGTGATGACGTCATCTACGCGAAGAAGTTTTGGCGCCCAAAGTAGCTGATTGGTCCTGAGCGTTTATGACGTCATCCGTCGGAACACACCCCTTCCAAGTTTTAGAATGGAGCAGGCCACGGTTCGTTTTGCACCGGTCACGTGACAAGGCACCTTGTTCAGGACGATTTGCACTAGACGGAAATTGGGTAAAATTACGAGTTTTACGACAGAAAATAAGTGTAACGGTGATTGAGAAAGATTCTATAGATGCTAATCTACAGAAGTCTGCAGTATTACTTCATTTCGTCCCATAATAGCCGAGAAAATGAGCTCTAAAGACAACGGGTGATGACGTCATTGACCGAGGAAGTCCCGGCTCCCTAGGTAGCTGATTGGTCCTGGGCGTTTTTGACGTCATATAATATTTATGACATCCTCCGTCAAAAAAAGTACACCCCTTCCAAGTTTTAGAATGGAGCAGTCCACGGTTCGTTTTGCACCGGTCACGTGACAAGGCACCTTGGTCAGAACGATTTGCACTAGACGGAAATTGGGTAAAATTACGAGTTTTACGACCAGAGAAAAGTGTAACGGTGACTGAGAAAGATTCTATAGATGCTAATCTACAGAAGTCTGCAATACTGCTTCATTTCATCCTAAAATAGCCGAGAAAATGAGCTCTTAAGACGACGGGTGATGACGTCATCGAAGTGAGGAAGTCCCGGAGCCCTAGGTAGCTGATTGGTCCTGAGCGTTTATGACGTCATATGATGTTTATGACGTCCTTCGTCCGGAAAAAAACACACCCCTTCCAAGTTTCAAAATGGAACAGTCCACGTTTCGTTTTGCACCGGTCACGTGACGATGCAACTTGTTCAGAGCGATGTGCACTAGACATAAATTGGGTGAAATTACAAGTTTTACGACAGAAAAAAAAGTGTAACGACAATTGAAAACGATTCTAGAGTTGCTAATCTATAGTAGTGTACAATGTTACCTCATTTCATCCTATAATAATTGAGAAAATGGGCTTTAAAGACGACGGCCGATGACGTCATCGACCCGATGAGGTCACGGTGCCCCAGTGCACCCCGGCCTGACCAGGGCACGTCAGAGCGTTGCCAGTGCAAAGTGCTCATTTCACTTCTGAACTCCGTCGAGACAAGGACGTGAAAAGTTTTCTTGCTGTTCCAACAGCTTATTTTACGAATTTTTGACTTACTAGTATTCCTAGTAGTCTATCATGGACGTGTATAATATTGACTATGTCACGCTGAACGACAGCGTGGCCAAGATGCGGCTCAGGGAGAAGCTGCTAGCGGAACAGGGTGTCCAGCTTCCTAAGGTGAGTCATCTCGAGGTTGTAAAATGTATAAAAAGTGTCTTGAACTAAAATTGGGATGGACTCTGTAAGTTTTAACGGCTTCTGAAGTTGGGATGGACTCAGTTCTTTTTACGTTTAAACTTACAGTTTTTTTAACGACTTCTAAAGTTGGGATTTAGTACAGGTGTTCCGAAACTGTTTATAAACATACGGCTGATGTTCTAGAACGTATACCATCGCTGTAGTTCCTTCATCAGCTTCGGTAAAGCACGTGTGACCTATCAGTACTAGTACACATGTACTTGTTCCACGTGGATAGTGTATTTCTAACTCTTGTTGTCTAACATCTACCCCAGGCACCATCCAAGGCCCAGCGGGAGGCTGCCGTCGCCGCTGCCGCCGCTGTACCGGTTCCCCTGGCCGTCGCCGCCGCTGCTGTCGTTGCGCCTGTTCCCCTGGCCGTGTCAGAGGGGGACGTGGCGAAGCGGCAGGGACCACTGTCCCAACCTGGAAAGAAGGTACGTCAGCTACAATAAGACTGTTTTCTCTGCGTTAGTTTTTACTAGACGTATCGCACGTAAATCTAAGAGGCGAGTGATTAGTCCGGTTGTAATGAGAGAAACTGTTACTGAGTATAGTTTAGTACAGTAGCGCCTATTTACCAGACGTACACAATCCGTAAACCGGTATCTGTCCTTGGTGCTGATTTGATTATTCGAAGTATAGTCACTGTATATAAACTGTATAGTCAGTCACTGTATAAACTGTTGGGAGTATAGTATAGTTAAGTAGCACAACCCATTCACCGTACGTATACAATCCGTTGCGGTATCTGTCCTTGGTGCTGAATTGATCATTCGAAGTATAGTTGAAGTAGTTGACTGTAGCACATTGCAAAGAAAGGATTAGCGCACATTTACAGCACATGTGAATGAAGAATAGATTCACATCACATGCTACGAACACATGGTTGTAGTTCATGTATCTTGTTTCATGGCAAACATTGGGTTCATGTAAATTCTTAACAGACTTTTTTTTACTTGTGTACTCTAAAGTAACTTCAAGTTGAACTTAATGTAGACAATGTGATAAGAAAGACGCACATTAAAGTGTCCGCAGCGTTTAGTTAGTTGTTAACTAACCCTGCTGTTCTTGCATATCACAGGACACTAGCGCGAGTGAGCCAACTTTGGCAGAGTGTGTAGAGGTCCCGTCTTCTGTCCCAAACAAGGTGAGTTGTGATAGATATGCCAGAGGCGTCACCAACAATGTGGCTGCTTATAAATATGTATCGACTGAAAGCAATGGTTGCTGTGAACAGTACTTGATAATCCTCTTGTGTCAAATAATTCAGTAAGGTAAGTATGTCAAATAAACGTAACATGGGAGCTATTGGTTTATTTCGAAAAAAAAAATGTTAATCCTTGACCTCAGTAAAAGATGACTGTTTTGTCTTTACAAAGAGAACAACGATTGATTGATTGATTAATTGGTTTCTATGTTTGTTTGTTAGTTGGTTGGTTGCGGTATGTATCAGTTACACACATCTTGCAGAGTGTTTGCTGGCAATAAAGCTCATCCCATTCCTTTTTATTGTTGTGAACAGGGGACATCGGCACCAACTGTTCAGCGGGAGGAAACAGATGGGAACCGGTTGGTCAATAAGGAAGAAGAGAACCTGTTGATCAGTAAGGACGAAGAGAACCTGTTGGTCAGTAAGGACGAAGAGAACCTGTTGGTCAGTAAGGACGAAGAGAACCTGTTGATCAATAACGACGAAGAGAACCCGTTGATCAATAAGGACGAAGAGAACCCGTTGATCAATAAGGACGAAGAGGAGAACAAGTTGATCAATAGCGAAGAGAAGAACAGGTTGATCAATAACGACGACGAGAACCTGGAGCTGGCTGTTCAGCATCTTTGCTGCACAGCCATAAGGGATGCCTGCAAGGAGTTGCAAGAAGATCTAGAGGAGAGTCTCAGTAAGGAGGTGAGTTCTGGTCGATATGCAAATATGACAGGGGCGCCATCTACAAATGTTTCTGCTTTTGAATATACACATCGGCTGAAAAAAGCAGTAGTTGTGAACAATGTTATCTTTGATCATATCGTAACTATTAAAATAACAATTCATTAAGATATCTAAATCATGCATGTTAATTAGTGGTTAGAAAAAAGCTTTACACATGAGCTCTAGAGGACGATAGATTTTTTTACCAACAGGACGATAAAATATTGGTTGATTGATTGATTGACTGATTGATTGATTGATTAATCGGCTGTTATGCTATGGTTGTTTCGCTAACTGGTTGGTCATCGACTACATTTTGTATGGCTCCAGAGAGTTTACTTGCAGCAAAACTTATCCCATCTTTTCTACTTGTGAACAGGAGGAGGACGGGAAGGAAGAGAAGCTTGTTAGCACCACGCCGCGTCAGTACGGCGGAAAAATGCGCCTGGATCGAGAGAACGCAGATGAGAGGGAGAGATGGTTGGTGAAGACTCCGGAGATACTTGCTCGAAATGCCATAGAGGGAGCCTTCAAGGTACTGCGCGGTGAGATGGAACCAAGCTGCGACACCCTCTCGGGACAAAATATACATCTCCAATATATGTCTATCCGCGATGCAGTAACAGGTAAATATATAAAAGACTGCTTTGTTGAGATAAAAATACAGAAACTCGTGATTAGCCCCACCTGATTGCAACACTATATCAAAGACTTGTGCTAGCCCTTGTTTGAGTACTAAGGATATTCTAGGTTTTATTCTACATTAGGTCTTATTCAATACATTTCTTTTTTCTGTGTGTACTTTGCCATACATGGTACCATCTGCAACTGTCGAGCAATAAAATTCTTCTTCTATCACAGGCTGTGATGAGAATGATCAGGCCACCCAGCAGCCATTGCATCAGGAGAAACCAAGCATTGAGGAGGAGGCCTTGGAATGTGGCATCGAGCACAAAGTGACTGAACGTGAAGAGAAGATGGAGAACTTCCATGAAGAGGAGAACAACATCATTGAGGAAAAGGAGCAGACACAGCCAAAGACCAAGAAGGGGTGGAAAGCACGGGGTAAGGGGGCGGCCAGGAGGCTGGGAAGAGCCGTTAGGCGCCTTCTCACCTCGTGCTTTCGGTGCAGAGTCGCTCCGTGAAGCATATTTTTATAGAAAGAATTATTTTTTCGATGACAAAATGTCTTATATATGTATATTTTATATGTATTTGTGGTTTGAGAGTTGAATAGTGTGACTTCATCAATATCCAAGTCGGATGAAGTTTCATGCTAATAAGTTGTAAAATTAGTATGCATGCTGTTATGATTGATTTTGATTGAGTACTGAGCAAGACCGCTCAGGTGCTGTATTACCGCTGCCTTAACCCTTGTCCTGCAGAGCCCAGCGATTTTTGTTTTGCACATACAGTACCATCTATATAGAACTCTGTATAGGTACGTTTGGGGGGGTATTTCTCTTGCAACGCATTGCACCACGGCGAAATGCAACGAATGCTCAAGTAAAAACGTTGGGGGTTCGTGACCTAATTAAGACACGAAATTTTTGAAAAATACTGTGTTAAGGTATGCCAGCAGGACCAAGGTTTAAACTTGGCAGGTTCAGTAATTTCTGTGATATCTTGTGAAAGTGATATATTAGAATAAAAGTTGAGTGGAACGTTATCTTGTTTCATCGTGTCTTTGTCAAGCAGCATTTATAGGCATGGTAATAGTATTTTAGAAAGGCGTAAGTAAAAGACACTAAGCCAAGATTATAAAAGGATTTCAGTCTATCACTTATTCAGAAGTCAAAGAGCTACCCGTATTATGACCAAGAACAAGACAATACACAACTAGATGCTTTGCTGCAGTACAACTGAAAGCCACTAGCAGGCTTACAATCGGGCATGACCGACCTATGTATAATACTGCACTGGGAATCTGTAACACCACATATGGGCAAAAACAAGACAGACACATGTAATTTCCATTGGTAAACAATGGTTTATTCAGTTACTGCAGAGCTGTCCACTGGCAAGATTTTAAGCAATTCTGACATGAAACACCAAAACTACTTGGTCCCCACAAGCTTCAACAGCAGATTCCAGCAAGGCAGCTAAACTATGTACATTGTACACACTAGAGACACCAGATTTAACCAATGTGGTTGTTTTTAGTCACCATATTCAAAAGAGCTTTCCAACATTACACACTTCTCAGTATATGGTAAGGCTAATTTGAAGGCAACGATTTGTACTACAGTATCTAATGTTGGTTAGTACGGGACAAAACTGTTGTAGAGTATTGAAGGCCACACAAATCTATTGGCTTGTTAAAAGAAACTATTTGTTGCCAGATAAAAGTTGCAAAAGCTTTTCAAAAAGTTCAAGTTCCAATTCCTGGGCAATTTAGATGTTAGAATTTAGATCTTTCTTTCTTTGGCAACAAGAGTATCCGATGAACAAGTCATATACAGTGTGGTCTAAAAGTGCTGCTTAATGTGACTGTAAGCTCTTTACATGATCCAATATATTGTTGATCACCATTTGTAGGATTGTCTTATGTTCGCCATATCTGCAGTAACTATACATTTAAGTAAACAAAAAGTTGAAAACTTATAATAAGAACGATACACTAATAAAGATGTGAAGACCATGTCCTCAATAAATATGTTAAACCATTCAAAACGCAAGCTGGTTCACAGTTTTTACGCACAATGCATCACAATGCGCATGCGCATTTTTAAAACTGTGACCCAGCTTACTGAAAGCTATAGTGATACATACGACATATTCCTTTGCAAGATTACATTTCAGAGGTGGAATGTAAACTAATATACACAACTGTAAGAAAGAACTGCAATATTGCAAAGAAAGTTAACCTGGCTTACAGTATACTCTTAATCTAACCAACTACGTAACTTGTGCTCCCTTACACCATTCCTAATAAGTATAAAAATACCTGCACAGCAGCATTTGTATAAGACAACAATTTGCTATCTTCCATTCAAGATCTTATGCTTATTTCTAACTCAATTTGATTGAGAACAATATTTTGTGACAATCAACTAACTCTTTTCAAATGCTGCCCTAAACAATTGCAATGAAGTATTAAATAAGGCTGTACAAAAATCACCAGTGAAAAATACAATGCTACTGCTTTATGTATACATGCAACAAACTTTGTACAAATGGACCAAATTGAGTTTTTGGCATATTCTTTTTGGCATAAAGCAAAAGCATAGCAGAAGAAAAGATAAAATTTAACGAAATCTTTGGCCACTTTTTAACTCCTTCTTTTACGTTATCAATTGTATTTGCATTGCATTGCTATTAGTTTTTTTTACGCAAGATATTTCACTGGAAATGATTACCACGTGACTACTGACAATATAGTCACACATGATCGAAATCAGTCTAAAATTTGTCCAAATTCTTATCAGAATTTATGGATGAAGCTTAGTATCAGTGATAGCCAATACAGCAGCCAGTACTCAAGTGTTTCCATAGCTCTTTGAAGGCCTCTCTTCTGGCATTTTATATCATGCCCAAATTCTTTTACAAGCACGTGGGTACAAAAGTCTACAAATGGATGTACATGTCGCAAGACATCTATATTTTCTTCCTTGTGAGAAACAAATGCAGTGAAATGTTGTTCAAAATGACTAAAACACATGTACTACTTATCTACATGTACATGTAATTCTTCAAACAGACAAACATGTATACTTAGTCTACTGGGTGCCATTTCTCTTAAGTAAACCTGAAATGTGGTTGGTTGTCACAAGACCTTTTGGCAACTAAAAGTATTGCACTATATACAAATGAACAGTAGCAAGTGAACAAACATGTCCTTACACAAGAGTGAATCCGGGAAAACAATCTTTGTGTTGTATGGCAAAATATACATACATACAACAACCATATATTTATTCCTAAGGATATATTAACACAGCTGCCTTTGGCTTAGTTATAGGATGGTAAAGAAGATTTAAGATATTTCCTTGAGAGTTCAACAACAATATAAATCTAATACACCACCCTCACTCTCATTTGGCAAAACTATGGGCAATTATACATATTATACCAAGCAGGGTTCTCACCAGGATTTTTCACAGCGTAGGGGTCAGGTACAGAAAGTCGCGCTTTTGAATCCCCAAAACATGACCAAAGCAGGGTGTCTGGTTTTCTCCCAGAAATGTTGAGACTCATAACCCCCTGAGACACTATTTCTTACTTAATGAGGGATAGATTTTGTAAAGTTTTCCCTCTGTTATAGCTTGATTCCAAAGTTATATTTCCTTTTTTAAAAGATTAATGAAGGTCCTCCCCCCAAAAAAACATCCCTACGCTGGTCCAAATCACAGCGTAGGGGGCCCCTATGCTCAAATAGCCTAGTGAGAACTATGCCAAGTAGTAGCACACAACTTAAACAGTACTGATCCGCTCCATTGACTTGGAAAGGTCCACCTTTTCCTCGTCCGTTGGGACGATATCGACAACTGGAACGCCCTTCTCGTTCAACTCGGGTTCACTCAGGTCCAGATCGCGGTCTCGGTTCAGAGCCGGGCCCCATTCTGAGGTGGGCTGGGTGACTGAGCGTAGCCGCTGCAAGGTAAAACATTAACAGTGAGTGGGGACCATTCACAAGGTAAACAAGCTGCCAGGGGGCCCAAACTCATGTCACTTCTTCCTGAGTAGAAGAACTGAGAACAGCTATTTACCATGCAAAATTCGCAACCAGATCATGAGATATCAAAACCAAAAGTTCAGCTGCAGTACCAAAACAAGCTGCCTGGGGGCTAAAATCAAATCATTTTGAGGCCAACTCACCTACCAAATGTAATTCTTCTCGAGTTATCATGTTTACAGACATACACGAATGCCTACAAAACTTGGCCTTCGTGAAGATAAAAACAGCACACCTTGCTGAAGGTAGTGCACGACATCTTTGGGTTGCTATTGGCAAGTGCAGTTTACTCTACCACACAACTCAAATAAATCTTGGGAAGACCCAAAAACTCACCTCCATGAAGGTTCCCTTGGCCTGCACGAGTGCGATGATGGCGAAGAGTGGGATGTTGACGACAGAGGCCATGGCCATGAGCCAGCCCAGACTGTCGGCCCAGTCAGGGTACTCATACTTCCCGTACGTCACCGGGGTGTGGTTCACCATGGTGAACAGCAGGATGCCCTGTGGAGGTACAGAAGTACAGTTAGACTCAACTTCAATGGACTGCATTCCTGCTATAAGGAAATGTTGTCATGCCAGCTAGCTACCTTTTAGGCCTAGGAAACTGTATTTCCTGTTTCAGTCCTGAAAACATTAGGGTCTGTAGGTAGGGGTTTTTTCTCTCTTTTTTTTTAAAGACTTTGGCAATCTCTAGTGATCCAACCTATACAATATAGTTTAACAAAGTAAAACTTTCATGAGGATACTTCTATTATCAATGTCACTGTTGTAAATGTCAAAACTGATTGTACAACGTTTCTTCACTCGGGTGTCAAATCATGGAGCTAGAAAAGGTCGATCAGCTTGAAAAATTTATGTCCCTTGCAGGGATCCACAAAACAAAAAGCTAGGGTCTGCCGTTTTTTTTCTAGGGTCGGTCGGGAAACAGGAAACACTTTTTTTCTTAGGGCTAAGGAGTGTCACCACAAGGAGGAGTGTGTCTCCCCAAAATAGTTTTAAGACGGCGTACTTACCAGAAGAACAACAGGAGTGATGACCTTCCAGCAGATTTTCCACCAAATGCTGGGGTAGGAGCCAAGCATCATCTTGATGTTGTCAAAGAACCGGTCACAACCTGTTGGAGTAAAAAAAATCCCTGTAAGTCAACTAGATTTCACAACACTAAACCATTCCGCAAATGAATTTAAATAGTAGCGAAAAGAATTTACAGAGTACTTAGTGAAATGTTCAGACCATATTATGCACTCAACTCATTACCGGTAGCCCTTCCCTCCCAAACTCTACAAATTACCGTATTTTCGATATTGTCTTCAATTTCCTTTCACTGTCTAGAAAATTTGATTTATCACATTAATTCTGGGTTCTATTGGCGTGCCAGGCATTTTCATTTTATATCCACTAAACATTTCGTTTTTGTTACCCAAACCTGTATTTATCTTTTTATGTTTCATGAGCAAAGGATGTTTAAGCACATTATGATGTGCTTTCTGTCCAATGCTCACAAATCTATGTGAATAAAATAAAATAAAATAAAATGTTGAGACGTACCGTACAGCCAGGCCAGCACAAGGCACTCGGTGACAGCCACAATCATGAGGGAAACACCAGCGCTGTACCAGTCAACCATTGTCAGCAGGTAGATCCCACCCTACACAGGAAACAACAATAGAATGCTTTAGATTTAACATACACTGGTAACAACATCAACATTATATCAGTAGTTTTGTGATGGTCAGCCAGGATCAGTCTACCTATAACACCGTAATCGTATATGACAATGAGTCTCTAAGTCTTGAGCCAAAGTTACCCAGCTCTGTGGTTGTTCTGGAACAATGGAATGGTGTGTGCAGTATTTTCTGAGCAGAAAATACTGCAAACAGACTTTCCTCACTTCACTCAGGTGAAAAAAGGAGTACCTAGCTTCGGTTACTGACATCCCTTGGATATGATCATCTACGCATTGCTGGACAATACCCCTCACGGGGTGTACCGTCCAGGGGATGTTAAATGGAGGTCCCGTGTTTGGGAGACCCACACACCACGTTATCAAAAAGAGTAGGGGTCCTTCCCGGTGTGAGTGAGTGGTTCAAACCTTACAGTCTGGTCTTACGCAGCTGGTTCAAACCTTACAGTCTGGTCTTACGCAGCTTGTACTTTCATGTACAAAACTGGTGACGCTTTAAGGTAGTTTACTGGTTATGCAAAAGCCTACCTGTGAGACCATGGGAAGAGCCAGGAGGAACTGCAGCACACAGATGGCCAGGGTGAACCACGTCTTGTTTGGTCGCAGGATGGTCGGGAACTCGTCAATCAGCCCGCTAAGCACAGCCTCCAACATTCCAAACTACGGCAGGAAAAATACAGGGGCAGAATGTTATTACATGTCCAGGTACGGCTTGTACTTATTGCAGACTGCTTCTGGTATCTGGAACAGAAGGCTAGGGGTTTGATGAGTAAGGCAGCCCGCTTGTTGTAAACGCTCTGCAAAGAAAGCATGTTTGGTTTTCAAGCACATTCCATGTTAGATACTATCATCCATGTTTATGTATATACTGTATACACAAGCAAGACAAACAAAGGGGGCGTACTGGCCAAGAGGTGCATGACATATTAACGTGAATCGATGGGTTTATTTTTTTCATTCATCAACAAACCCGAACATAGCAAAGCAATCGGAGTCTGCCAGTGCCCCTGTTGATGTCCCTGTCACCAGAATTGTCTCGGCTGGTTTTTCAACGTTACACTTCATTCTTTCACTTTCTTTCTTTCTTTCTCTCTGTTAGCTGAGGGGCCGAGATATTTCTGGTGGTATGACACATTAAAAATTGCACTACTGAGTCCTGAACATCGCGAGAGAAACACCCGAATCAAGTATATCTGAAGTGCGAATTCAAGATGTGTCACGAAAATCATCCAGGGTTGAACAGAGGCACTGACAGTGGGGTACAAACATTCTTTTTAGTGTGGGTAATGCAATTCAGCAGAAAAGAACCTAATTAACACTTTTCAAGGCCAATAACACTACCCTTGTACCCTGTAGTTCTCGGCTTCAAAATGTTGTTTTCTTTTTAATCCTTTTGCTGAGATTATCTCTTTTCTATAATTATCTTTTTTCTATATGTTGGGTCATACCAGTGTAAAATGCTCCACTGAAATCTGAAACATGACCAAAATGTTTCACCAAATTTTGTACGCAAGGGTAGTACTAAGGTTGAATCTTAGTTCCTTCACTAGTACTGCAAGGAAACCATCAAGTTGACCCCAATTTTTGTATGTCAAAGAAAAGCCCCAAAACTTGAGCTTGCATTTTGTTTGAAAAACCTGCATACATGTATTTGTCCGATTGAGGGTTTCCTATGACAATCTTAGGCCAACCATGGCTGCTGACTTCAGAAGCCAAGAGCTAAAACTTCACAGCACACACACACTGGGTATCCCCTTGAATGTGAGAAAAAAAACTTGTGTAACTTTTTCTTTCACTACATATGAAATGCCAAAAGACTTCTAACCAGAGTTCCAGAAAGAATCGTATGTGCATGAAGTGCTCTTGCTGGCCAAACCCTTCCCTTGTACAACCCTATCCCCCACCCTATAGCAGCTCCCTACTGCCCGCTTCTTTCCGAAGCCAGCAGCCATTTTGGATTGCGTGCTGATCATAATAATAACATCGTAATACTATATATAAACGTCTTATTAATCAAGCCACGCCACTATATAAAACTCAAGAGAGGAGCACAATCATTGGAAGGAAAGGTTTTCTTGTGATGGAATACGTAGATGTCGTACTTGTTACCGTAACGCTGCCGCAACCTGGTCGGAGGCTCGGCCCGCGAGGACGCCCAGCCCCTACCACTCACTATCATCTTGAATGAGGATAGTGAACAAGCAGAGATGACCAGAAAGATTAGACCATGAATTAACCAGACCGGAATTAACCAGTCTTTCATCATGCACACTAGCTAACAGCTACGAGCCGTGAAAGATCTAATTTAACTTCATACTGCATACTGTTTGTATAGTTTTTATATTCTTTTTTTTTAAACGTTGTATATATATTTTGTACACGTGTTCTAGAGTAGTTAAGTGAAAGGGATGGGAAAGAGTGGGACAAGACACTCACATGTACAGCAGGTAGAATGAAGCGAAAGCATTGCACTTTTTTTTTGTTTGCGGCAGGTTTCATGGATACACCATGGTCAGACTCAGACAGAGGATGTAGCTATGCATGTAACATAAATTATATTATATATTATTATAAGAGACAGGAAAAACCATGTTCTGTTCTACTAGAAATGTGAACCAAAGAATAAGATTTGGGGCTCAAAACATGTACGTTGCGTTATAGTTTTTCAACAAAGGAGGTTCTGCTGAAGGCATCTTTACATGTAGGTTACAAAACATTAAACTTTGAACAAAAACAAGAGAGAAATGTTCACAAAGTTGTTATAGACAGCAAACAGGACAAAGACACTGCAAGCTGCTCTAACTTTGCACACAAAAAAAAAGATGAGAAGACAGATGAACAGACTTTGGCAGAGATTGTGCTCCTGCAGCGTGAAAAGCCATGAAGTGACGCTGGTTATACACGACTCATCCCTTTCACTGAATTACTCTGAACCAGGAAAAATCACATCACAGCAATTCTAACATCTTCAGTATTATTAGCATTACTCAAAGGATCTTGGGGGGAATCTTTGTGTACTTTTCTTACATTTTCGTCTACATCAAAACTTCTTTTGTTTTTTGGACAAGCTGTCATTGAGAAAATTAAATGTTTAAACGTTTGCCTGCAAAAAGGGTTTTCAGTTTTGAAATGTTTCTTTTGAAAATCAAAATTGAAAAGGACAAGACTATGAAACATTCCTCTTGAACACTGAAATTAGAATTAGACTTTTTGAATGTTTTCATCTACAAAAATCTGAGTTGATAGTACAGTGATCCTACTGAATGTTTTTACCGATTGAATTTGATTCTGATCTTAAGTCATTTAGTCCGCATTTAATCTGTGTACTGCACAAATAACATTATTGTAGCCTTGGACAAGGCTTATTTTCTTGGTTCAGATTATTTATCATTTGCAGCATGTGTACAGTAAGTGCCAGTAGCAGTTCTCTGGATTCAAATTTAGTTTTGCTGAACATCAATCTCAACATTTGCTGTCCTTTGTTTTCTTGAAAACTATTGCAAAAATCTGTCACAGGTTTTCTTTTTAATTCTGATCATTTTCTCCAGGCCTTAATATGTTGGAGAGAGCAGTTTACAATTGCTTCACTGTGAGAATACCACAGGCAAGCAACAGGAAACAGAATGATTGTGACAGATCTTTGGCACTTTAACTTGGGCAAATTTGGACAAAATTTTACAAACATTAAAAACATAATCGCCAGAGAACTGCTGTACAATTTCTGAGGATATTTGTACACTTCTGTTCCTTTCCTTGTCCCATGCTCATAAAATATCAAATTTGTTTGATTAAGTCACATCTCATGATCAGTGGAAGGGGCATTTTTTCATGAAGGTTGCACAGCTTGGTTGGCATGCCAAAAACCCCTTCAGCTACAAACTTAAGTTTTCCTTTTCTTACAATCAACATTTGGCAATGTTGACAAAGGGAGTTGTGCATGGAACAAGGGCACAGAAGTCTTGCTGCAAGCAAAGGGGGTATGGGATATCAGTAAATATGTTGGGGGAAAGTCTGAGGGGTGTGCATCATAAATAATGCACTTCTTGACTTGAACTACCACTGTGACAGTGGTTTGTATACATCCATGGGATTTCTGCAAGAAAATACACTTTTCAACATGAGAGGAAGAGCAAAATCACAATATTTTGGCAGTTTCTCACCATCAAAGTTATGAAATACATGTAATATACGTTCACATGTAGCATAACCTGAACAGAAAATGCGATATTACGACCAAAACATGCTGCCTCATATGAAAACATTGTTTTGTAGGATACCTACAAGTAGAAAAGGCATTCAATGCAAAACTAATTTGGTGAGACAATAATAAAGAGATTATGTTTTTCTCTCATGTCCATCTTTGTTTATCAGTGCACTTTGTTTACAAAGGCTGTTGACAAACAAAGGTAAAAGTGATAATGTCACCTTCACTTAAATCAATTTTCATTTTTGTACTTTTTCTAAAATAGCTTTTGGTCTCCATTGGTAAGATACTGCCAGTTTCATAAGAGGGTTGCATATTGCCAGTGGACTTCTTTTAGTTAGGTATCTCTTTTTGTACATTTTGCATACTGCAAACTTCATGACCAATTGTCATTTATATCTACTGTTATTATGAACGTTGCCTGAAAAAACTGATGTTTTCATGTTTTCAACATGTGGATGTATAGATTGAGGCTGAACAGACAACCACTATATGAATATGCAACCATCTCTTCACAACATCATTTCTACTCTAAGACAATTATAAAAGCATGCTGGAGGCACAATTCTCTCTTCTGACATAGTCAGGCACTGTTGGAGTACCAAACTCAAACTTTAAGGTCCTTAATTTTGATTTTTGAATATCAATTGAATTTACTTTCTGTAAAAAAAAAAAGGTGCAAGTTTGTTTTTGTCGAATTTTCAAGTTTTTAGTTTCTTAGAAATTAATTCATTTGGAATTATTGAAATGTTTTAAAAGAGTACAAATTTGCAAGTCTGCGCCATTTGGAGGAATTCACTTTTTTACCCAAGGTAAGTCCAAAAACCCTGAGCATGCCTTACAGAGAAGAGTGCGTGAATGAAGTGCACAGGGCTTACAGGCTGGTCTCTGGTGAGGTCTGCCAGCAGGAGAGAACCAGTCATGAGGATGTTGCAATACCATGCAAGAGTTCACAACTGTAGTGTTGTGTATCACTGCATCAGTACATCACACTTTAAGTATTAACTTCTTGTTTTTTCTTATTTCTTGTTTTTGCAGTTGCCAGTGCTACGTTAATATCATAATTCTTAGCCAAAGCACACATAGGCAAAGCTTACTGCCTAAGCTTTGTTCTGAAGCCAAACATGCAATCAATTCATTGCAAAATTTTGTCTGCTTATTGAAGCAAAGAATGTTTCCGTACAGTATGTACTAAGTATTTCATTAATTATTGCATCTCCTGTGCTAGCAGATATCAACTGAATCAGACAAAAAATGCATTTTATTTTCATTTCACAATGCAAATCAAATAAAATAAGCAAATTTCTTGTTTGTTGAGCGTATCTCATATCTGAAGAATTGGTAGAATCAATGAGTTGAATTTTTTTCTTGAGAATTGTGGTCTTTGTCAGTTCATTTTTGATCTGCACGAGTGCTGCCTTGCTGTGGGATGACTTACTCTGCCACCTCCTCTCAAATCCATGGAAGTATATCCACTAACACATACAGCAGTGGTCCACTGCACTGAAGTACCATTTGGACGACAATCTCTTTTTAAGAAATCCCAAAGCCGATCACACTTAGTATCAGCATTTCACAGGAACGAGAAATCTTCCAGGACTGGACCACTGCTCGAAGGCAAGAGGAGGGGGCAGGATATACCATCTAAAAGAAAGGTAGCGTGGCACACGTGTCGGTAGGTAGACAAGCCTGGTAGCCTCATGCACAAAGAAAAAAAACTGAGATGTGGTGTCGTGAGGGGTGTAGAAAAGGGAACTTGTTGTACCTGACTGTCCAGCCCGAGAGTGAACAACATGAAGAAGAAGAGGATGGCCCAGAGAGGGGAGATGGGGAGCAGGGACACTGCCTCGGGGTAGGCTACAAACGCCAACCCTGGACCTGCAAACACAAAACATGGCATTCTCATCAGGTTGTACGCAACAGCAGAACACATTAAACATTTTTATCATGACTTTGTTGTATGCAACATAGTGAAATAAAAACTGTAGATCTTTGATTTTAAGGTTTAATTTTTTTGCTGTAACTTCTCACTGCAACCACACAAAACACATTCAACATTCTTGTCATGTATGCAACAGGGAAATAAAAAAAAAAACTTTAAATCTTTCAGTGATTGCAAATTTTTGTTGCAATCTCTCACAGAAAACTCATCACACCAACAAACATTTACTCTGTCCTCCAAGGCGTTACTACCACAAATGTATAATTGCTTGAACCACAGACTTAATTTTTAAGTGATAACTTTTCAATTTCAAGCAACTGTCTGTCAACTTTGGGAGTTAAAAGAAAAACACATATATAACATCCAGAGAAAAGTGGATAACACACACCTTGGTCAATAACGTCTCCAACTGGCACACCGATCTCGTGGGCCATGAAGCCAATGACAGAGAAGATGACAAAACCGGCAAACACGCTGGTGGCACAGTTGCTCACAGAGATGATCAGAGCATCGCTGAAACAGACAAGGAGACCATGAATCCTTAGTACTAGCTATAGGTTTAACATGCACACCTTGAAACTTCTGTGGTTTTGTTTCCATGTTTTTTGACACATCAAGTATTACTGCTGTACTGCAGATTTATTTCAACCCCGAATTTAAAGACTAAAAATCTCCTTTTCTTCAGTATTTGATTTGTGTACTGTCAACTTACAACCGTTAGGCAAAGTAACTGGTGAATGCAGAAACTTAAGTTTTACATGCAAACCTTGAGACTTCAAAATTTGTGGTTTCATTTTCAAGGTTTTCATGACACCAGGAATATGTGTTCCAAGGCATTACTATATACTGTGTTACAGAATTGTTTCAACGTAGAATTTAAAACCTTTTCCCATCTTAATCTCCAGTATTACATGTACGTACCGGTAGCAGTTGTTGTTGAAGCGGTTGTAGCTGGACATGGTAATGAGAGAGCCCCAGGCTGCGCCCAGGGAGTAGAAGATCTGCACAGCGGCGTCCATCCACACCTTGGGGTGGGACAGGCGGCTCCAGTCAGGCTTGATGTAGAAGAAGATTCCGTCCATGGCGCCCTCCAGGGTCAGCCCGCGAATCAACAGGATGAACAGGACGATGTAGGGGAACGTAGCGGTGAAGTACACAACCTGGGGAGGAACAACGAACAAATTAGCAACACTGTATAATGTTTATTAGAGTTAAAACTTTTGATCCAACACAAAGAAGTTCTCTCCCCTAGAGCTTTCGACCAGTCACTCTGGTTTTCCTCAATAGACTGACCCAGTGAGGCTGACATCGTCTGCCAGATACCTTTGACCCAGTGTTGACGTCACACTTCAAAGAAGCCATGTGACAAGCCTGACTGGGTCAGTCTACTGAGGAAGAGTAGAGAGACTGGTCGAAAGCTCAAGATGATAAGAGAACGTCTCTGTGTTGGATCTTAAGTTTGAACTCTAAGCAACACTGTAGAATGATGGTACTTGCACCTGTTGTTAGCATTCAGAATGATTTTTGCTTTGCTACCAAAATTTTACATCAAGTACATTTAGGAAAAACCTTTGCTACGTTGGAGGGAGACAGCCTTACCTTGCCGGAGGACTTGACTCCCTTGACCAATGAGAAGAAGACGACAATCCAGCCCAGGAGGTTACACAAGGTCAGGGACCAGCTGATCCCGCCCATGTCATCTATGCCGTCTGAGATCTGCAGAACAAAGTGCCTGGAGGAGAAGAAAAGCTTTGGTTAATCATCAAAGAATGGTGAAATCTAATAAATGTTAACCAGGGCTCTCCCCAAGCAATGAAGCAAGGCTGTTCCCCATCTTCCCAAATTCCTAGCCCCTCTGCCAAAATGTTCAAATTTAGGGTTTTCTCTTAGTATTTTCATGAAATTTTGCTATTTTCCTCAGTTGATAAGGGAGCACCTCTCCCTAAGAATTTCTGGGGAGACCCCTGGTTAACAATTGTCCTGCAGCGCCCATATATATACATATATGTGGGTTGCACATACAGTACCACCCGTATAGTGCCCTGTGTATGTATGATTTGGAGGTATTTCTTGTGCAATGCATCACACTGCAGTGAAATGCAACAAATGCAGAAGTAACTGTGCCACCGCAAGACAAAAAATGTCAGGGGTCTGTGACCTGATTACGACATTAAGTTATTGAAAATATTGTGTAAAGAATGCCAGCTGGACAAGGGTTAAAATCCTTCCCATACCTTTACATTTCTAGAACACTTGCTAAGTTGGACTACACAGGCCACTACAGTAGGATTGTACAATCATGTAGTTCATTGGTAGTGGCCTATGTTCAACTATATTGTACCTTACTCTGTCTCGTAACCTTGCGAATCTTTTATTGCATAAGGATTATTTCTTCATGCCACAAGAGTTACAAAATGTAATTATTGTTTTTGGATTGTCTGTTTGTATTTTCTGTGATCCCCTGTGCCCCAGTGGAATTTTTTTGTCCTTGGAGTTTGTTTTCAAAGCAGCAGAGTATGTAACATTAAAACAATCGAGAGGAAAGCTACAATTCTAGTGTAACAGCTGGGATGGGCGGAAAACGTTTGATGCACATTTAAGTCATGTAGTTAAAGTAGCCAACAGCTGTGGTCGTGAAATCAATTATACCGATATCACTGTAAAACATGGCTTCTAGTTAATCCTTACTTCTTACATTATATTAATATAGACCAACTGAAATATGTGAAATTTTACTTCTTCATGTCAAACATTTTTGTCTTGGGACATGACACTTTGGACCTATTGGAATGAAAAGAATTCATGAACTGGTTAGACCCTTGGGCAGTTCCTATCCAACAATGGACAGGTCACCTTGGATGTTTGAAATGATGCAGAGCGAACTAATGAGAATTAACTTCAAAAGCCAGCTGCGACCAGCACAGATGTAGCTCTATACCACCACCAAAAAGTACCAGGACTGACCCGACTTTTTCTGAAATGGATTATTTGATTAGCAGAAGGTCTTCTGTTGACCTAATTTGCGTACTAGATTACATTTGGTTACTTAACATGTGTGTTCTCTCCTGTGCCATTAGTGCTAAAAGCTCTCGTCAGTGGACTAATGGATTGGAACGGTCTTTTTTTTAAAGCGTAGTAATTGGTGAAGGTACTCAACAAACGGAACAATTTAAGTTATTTTAACACCCTTGTACATCTACATGTACACGAGCAAAGTAAGTTGTGAGTAAACAAAATAGAAGGCATTTAAGGTAGTGATATCTGGCCGAGTCATTCAACCTGACTACTTTTACCCTCGAGCTAGCTGGAACAATATCTTGATTCACATCTTCGTAAGTACGCCCAGCATGACTCGTGTGGCTTCAGGACATGAACAATGCGAGGGTCAAACGAAGCTTCTGGCGGGGTGAAAATGTCAAATAACTTCAATTGTTCAAAGGGACCCGCCTGTTTGTGTAGGTGTCATAATGTGTACAAATAGGTAAATATGTATATCAAAGAATCAGTGTTCGAAATACCTGTCTGCAGTCTGCAATCTGCAGATAGATTTTCAAGATTGCAGAAGAAAAATTTATACAATCTGCAATTTTGCAGAAGGAAAAATTGGCACTTGGGATTTGGTGCTCTTGGCCCCAAGCACAGACAACACTGAAGCTCCTATTCTGAAACAACAGGAGCTTCTTCACTAATTTGCATCAACCTTGTCTTGACTTGTCTATCTTTTGTTTCTTTTGGACTTCCAAACATTTGTCTTCACTAATTTGCATATTAATCAATAGTTCATGCTTATAAACCTGCAAGATTGTAGTATGGAGGCTTGTGTATTTGCAGAAAGTATTTCCAAATTGCAGAACAAAATTTTGACTCTTCTGCAATATTGCAGAGCGCTGAAAAAAAGTATTTCGACCACTGAAGAATGTTTAGACCTTAGAACAAGTAGTATAAGTTGACTCATCTATTTCTTGTACGTAGCATTATAACCATGTATTTGTCTGTATGTCTACATGTAGTTTTAGACGAAAGTCACTGTACTTTTGTTGTGTCAATTAAGTTCTTCTGATAAAGTGATATGATGGCAATGTATACCTCCAAGCAGATGTTGAGGGGGGTTGAATCATTACATTTTTTGATCTGCCCGTCTCCGTGTCAAGAGGAGTAGGTCATTGAAGTTCCAAATAGCAAGCAAAGAAGTTACTGTAAGTCCTGACTTCTTTACAGTGTCTCTAAGTTCACTGTTTGGCCAGGCGGCTAGGAAAATGTGAACGATTTAGCCTCCAAACATCTGCTTGGAGTTGTGGGCGTGGCATGCATGACTGGCATAACTGTCTGCTGGGGGGCAAGCGTGAGGTCATGACTCATGTCTATCATGCTGTGACACAGAATGACACAAACATGCCAGGACTGTAACAAATGTACTGTGTGACACTGATTCACTGTTACTGTACTAAATCCTTAAAGGCATTTAGTGCAGTTTTTAGGGCTTGGAAACAATTTTTTTTTCAAAGTACATATTCTAGTCACTTATCTACATACTAAGTTTAAACAACTGTCCTGTTGTATATTGACATTCATGGAGCAAAAATACCCAAAATTCTGACGGTAACTGGAAGCCGAGTGGAAGGTTAAAATCCTGAAACTCATTTCATGGTGACACTTGTCACTAGTGCTGTCTTTTGCTGAAATTGTAGAAATGTTTAGGTTCATGTCCAAAAAAACTCAACATTGGGATCCAGTTCCAGACTTACAAAAAAAATCATGTCACATTCCCATTTTCATTCTAAACCACCTAAAGCCTTCAACAGATCGAAAAATTTGTGCTGCAAAGGGAAGAAAACATTGCAATTGTGCATTGTCATGTGTCAGCCTCTGTAATTATATAGCCATAGTTTCGCCCTGATGTGTTATGCAAACAACATATCCTGGTAGCGCAGTGCAAACTACAAAATGTTTGCCAACATGCAATTTGTATATGCCATGGCTTTAGGCTCAGCCTTAATAGGTCCGGACCTAAACCTCTGGACTTGAATCCAGACCTGAACCTAGACAGGTTTAGGTACCCAGCACTACTTGACACTGGGTGTGTTGAGTATGTCATGGAAAAGAACTATGAAAACCATGAACTTTGAGATACTGCAAATGTGTCAGGGCTTACACAATACTTTCTTGAGTTAGCTTGACATTTTGAACTGCAATGATCGATTCCTAAACTGACAGTGATGACAGGCATTCAAAATGTCTGCAATTTTCGCCTACTGTTTGAGATATTCGTGCCACGCAGACCCATATATCACAGTCCAGTGGTGTTTTCTTTGGATAAAAGTGCCCTGAAAGTGTTATATTTGAACGTGAGCCAAAACACATAGGAACAAAGGCCGGGCCGTCTCTTGAAATCAATTATCGGACTTGGGTGCGGGCAATGGTCTAACTGGTTTTCTCTGAACAAGCTGTTACAAGTGTTTGTCATAGGCAACATACAAACACGCACCTACATGATAAGTGTATCATTGTGAGAGGAAACTTGCTCCTGAACAGGGCAATCAGAGATGGCATACTTCACCTCCCGGTTCCACAGAAAAAAAAGCAGCACTGAAGAATTTGTTTGAAAGTATAGCAACTCCGCATTGTGTATACTGGGAATCGTAGAAACACTAAAACATACAGGGATGTTTTGCTCCCATTAAGTAAAATAACAGCACGTCTGCAGAATGTACTGCACCCATAGTTTTTGTTGGATGTTTGGTCAACAGAATTTTGCCTGTTACAGATAATATCTTTTCTGACATAACATTTGGAAACAACAGACCGGATGTTAATTTATATACACGAATACAACTTTATACGAGACGTTCTGCTGAAGTGCTATGCAGTTGCTATAAACCAATGATTAGCCAGGAGTGTTATTGTAATGTTACAACCCAGGCTATTGCTTATGTTAGCACATTAGGCCACACCGATTAATTTTTGTTGGTTCTCGGATTCGCCTCTTCTTTTTTTCTGATTTGCAAAAAAAAAAGAAAGATTCTGGTTCTGTATCAACTAAAAAATGCTCATATTTTGCCCCCAACAGTAGAGGAAAATTCTTTTCTTCCTAGTTGTCATAGTTTTTTCCATCTATCAATGCAGTGGTTTGATTAGAAGTTCGAAATTCATTGTTAAAATTGTAAACCCAGTCTTTTGTGTTGACTTCATGGCTCCTATCATAGCATTTGGGGCTCTAATAGGATGCCTAGACCTGTTTGTTGTTTTTTTTGCCCTGTGGCGTCATTTTTTTTTTAAATCTGAGAACTAACAAACTACATTGGTATGGCCTTATAGAAAGAGAACAACTCACTTCCAGTACTCCTCGGTGGGGGAAACGCGGGTGAAGTTGGTGTTCTGCAGGGTCTCGTTCATCATGGCGGCCGTAGCGTTCATGGTGGCGTTGAAACACGTCCCGTTGGAGTAGTCACCGCCGATGCGGCTGCACTTGTAGATCTCGAACGCCATCTTCACATGACCGCCCTCACTGAGAAATCAAGAAGTACATGTATATTATAAAACAGATCTTAACACACCAAATCTTTACATATACAACTTGTATGGGTACAAAACTGTAGATTGGTTTGGTTTAGTTTGGTTTTCCTTTAATGCCCATGATCATGATAATGATCATTTTGGCATGCTATTTTTCACCTCAGGTGAGGAAAGTTGTGTCAAGTGCCTTTCCCACGGGCATACATGTAAGGTTGGTGACTTGGCAGGATTCGAACCCAAGACCTCTTGGTTCTGTGCCGAATGCTCTACCGTTAAGCCACACAACCCCACTTCAATATCAATATATTGATATCAATATAGAACTATATACAAAATTATCTTTTGCAGCTAGGAATGCTCAACACTGTGAAACCCGGCCTCCTACTTACACGCAGTCCCCGGTGTTGTAGTCGTTGGTACAGGAGACCCAGGGAAGCACACTGGTGAAGGAGGCGAACAGGTAGTGCAGGATGTAGGAGATGATCACGTTGTAGTAGATACACACCAGGAACGAAATCATCACCATGGCAAAGCCAACACCTGGGAAAACAACCAGAGTTATCAACAAAGGATTCATTCTCTTGTAGAATTACCGCAGAGTGGAACTCACTTTCACCAAGTACAGTAGGGGCATTGTCATTAGATAGCTTTAAACAATGTTTAGAGTTAGAGTTCAAAGGATGTTTAGAGTTAGATGTTCAAAGGTTAGGTGTAACAAGTCGTTTGGTGTAATATACATGTAGCCAGCTGCCGCCACACCATGTGCCTGTGAAGCTGTTGTGTTACATGAAGGGCCGTTAAAAAAGATATACAGATACTGGAGTGTCATGTCATTGGGTGCACAAACTTCTAACTTTATTTTAGACTATATAAGGATTACAAGACAACTTCTAGTATCTTCTGTTCTTACCCTTGAACAAGGGAGCGACCCTCCAGATGGTGATGGGTCCGGTGCCGGCAAACTGCCCGAAGGACAGCTCCAGGAAAAACATTGGGATTCCCGCAAACACCAGGAAAAACACGTACGGAATCAGGAATGCACCTGCGGAAAGTAATGATATAAAGACTGCATGTAAGAAAGCATTCATACACATTCAAACAACACACAGTCATTTGCCATTTCATTCTTGTAATGAGTATCCAAGAAAAGTGTGTTCTTTTTTTCCCATTTTTCGGATTCCCGTTTATTGAAAAGATGTTATTAAAAATTCAACCAAGCTCCTAGTTCTGGACTATATTACTACCGTAATATTAACAATATCAGACATTTTAAAAAATTCAACGAAGGCCTAGGCCTGGACTATATCAGAAAGAGTTTTGCCAGGTACACAGAGACCAGATAAAAATCAATATTTATTACATCTTTATTGCTCCTCTTGTACTTATCAAACAATTTAAAAGCATGTCTGCTATCAGTGGCGCCGGCAAGTCTATTTTTTTTGGACAGGAGTGGCGTAACCTAATCTGCTCGTAAAACAACGGGCTAAGGTTCAGTTGAACTTTGTGTCCCCTCAGAAGTAGTATTGAAGTACTCGCTAGAGTATACTGTGTTTAATTCTTTTACTTGAAGTTTCAGACATGTACAGACATTTATATGAATATAATCCTCGCTTTTGGACTTTGTTTTGAACGAGGCAAGATGTGTAGAAGTGCGCAAGACTGTAGCCATGGACTTGGGACCTTGCGTTGCATCACTCTTCCATTAACCTACATACCTGACAGGTTGCCACACCTAACACAAAAGAAATTGTATCGAACAATTTTGTAACCTAGTGGACTTGCACCTTGCACGTGATGATACAAGCAATCTAGCGGTCACTGCCTGCTCAAACGTTACAAAAGGTTATGACGAGGTCGTCAAAATGTGTTTGCCAAGCATTGTTAATTGCACAGTTCCACAGGCTGGCAGATGGTTGAGATAAACTCCAGCCAACCCCAGGTTCAACCAAGGGTCAGCAGTCTGCAGAGCTGACCCAGTGAGCCAATGGATGCACAAGTTTTTTTGGGTGCACCGTATTATATAGTAAATAAGTAAATAAGTAGAATATCAGCAAAAGCTGATTATGTTCCATTTCGAAAGAAAAGTAGTATAACAATGATTTTATTATTTTTCTGACATTTAGATATTAAGAATATACTGTATACTACTATACATTTAACATCTTTAAACCATACGTAACAGTTTAAAGTCTGTGTTACGTATATACCTACGAAAATATTTGGGTGCACTGGTGCACCCACAGAAAAAAAATTGGGGGTACAGCTCCAAATTTGGGTGCAGTAAGGTGGACATGCACCCAGTATTTCGAGCCCTGATTCTTGTAATAATTATCCAATGAAAAATGTGTCTTTTTTTTCACTTTTCAGATTCCTGTTTATCCAGTCAACTCCAGTTATAAACTCCCGTCAACCCCTGGTTCAAACAAGGGTCAGCAGTCTGCAGTCTGACCCAGTGAGCTAATGGATGCACAAATTTTTGGGGGGTGCACCATATAGAATAAAATAAGTAGAATGTCAGCAAAAGCTAATTATGTTTCATTTAGAAAGAAAAGTACGTACATACGTAACGGTTTCAAGTCTGCGTTACGTATATACCTATGAAAATATTTGGGTGCACCAGGAAAAAAATTGGGTGCACTAAGGTGCACATGCACCCAGTATTTCGAGCCCTGATTCTTTTAATAAATATCCAATAAAAAATGTGTCTTTTTTTCCATTTTTCAGACTCCAGTTATAAACTCCAGCCAACCCCTGGTTCAAACAAGGGTCAGCAGTCTGCAGTCTGACCCAGTGAGCTAATGGATAGTCTGGGAGCACGCAACCTACTTTTCCAATGCTTTTCAAGATGGACAAGATAAGGATTTCTCGTAATGGTTGTCTCGGGACTGACAATGATGAGCAATAAACCATGTTCAATGCTCTCACAGATTGGGAGCATCTGGATAGTCTGATGTATCTTGGAAATTGAACATTTCTGGAGTACTTTAAACTTTGGGTTACAAAGTAACAGAGGTAGTTTACTTGGAAACGTGACGATTAAAAGTTTTAATGCATTATCTAGTAAAGAGGAATGCTGCACTTTTGAACTTTGTTTTTAGAATGGATACTGTCTGGCTAATTGGTATTGCCTGGCAAATTTGATATACTCACCTCCTCCGTTTCTGTAGCACAGGTAGGGGAAGCGCCAGACGTTCCCGAGTCCGACCGCGAAGCCGAGGCAGGACAGGAAGAACTCCATGTGGTTCCCCCACGTCCCACGGTCCTCTCCGTCTGAAGACACAGACGGGGTCTCGCATTCGCCATCGATGCCACTACGGTCCGCTGGCAGCTTCGTCTGCGTAAAAATAACACACAAAAAGTTAAAGTCAATGATTCCCACACCATGTGCATAGGATGGTGCCCATCTCTGGTTAGTAGGCCTTGGGCCACACAGTTGTGAAATCACTACAGCATGGCAGCTAGTCCACTGGTAGTGTTTCCCATATTCTTTCCCAAATGCTGAGTGCTAAGCAGAGAAAGCAGTATCATTTTTAAAAAGTATTTGGTATGACTCGGTCGGGGATCAAACTCGCAACTACTGAATGCAAGACGAACACTCTACCCACTTGGCCATTGCACAAAACTTGAGGATTAATAAGAGTTTAATGGGAGTTTCGGCACTACAAATGAACTTCTTTTATTATGCAAAAGTCCGTTACTTCAGCTTTCGATGACAGTCCAATCATTTACGACAAATCCCATAATACAATAAACATAGGTCAACACAGCACATTAGACATCATTACTAGACATTACCTTAAAAGCATTTATGGAAATCAGTTGATGCCCCGAATAAAGTTAATCTGATTTGAAATGACCATATAGTAAGTAAATTCTCTGCATGGCTAGCTCTTTTCTTTCTTTTAGGCCGACTTTAGACTGACGACAGTATACGATCGCACGACAATCGTTGTGGGCGACGGCTGGCTTTAGACATATGACCAGAAAGTGTGGCGGACACCCGCAGTGCAGGATGGCACGCCGCGCGCCAATTCAAAATGGCGAGAGAACCCCCCTTTTCGGCATGCTGCAGCAGATTGTTTTTATTCTGCTTTTAACTCGTTGTCCTGTTGATGAGACGCCGAGTTTGTGCCCAGCAAAGAAGGGGTATATGGCACATGTACCGAGCGGGGCAATACTCCGGGTTTGAACCCGGCGTTCGGTGCTGCAGTCGGCCTGGCTATATTGGCCGGGAAATGTGGATCGGCGGATCGGGTTCGTACTGGAGAAGTAGCGATTGGTGGCAGGGGATTGTACTAGACACGTATGACGATATAAAGTCTTGGTTTGACGACATTTAATGATACAGGCGATGTGCTTGGACATGAAATAACGCTTGCAGGCTTATTTGCATAAGGCCAATGACCTCCCACTTCCTTCGCCGGCGACGGTTCACTTTAGACGATGGAAAATCCTCCTCGGACCCCCCGCTGAAGGATCGCACGATAGGGTCCGAGGTGGTAGTGACGACGATTCGAGGATTACCGTCGTGCGACTATTTTGATCGTGTTTAGACGGTGGTAAAATACCGTCGCCGGCAACATCTTGACGATAAACATTCGTACGACTATCGAACCGTCGTCAGTCTAAAGTGCCCCTTAGTTGACCTCGGATTGAGGACAAGCCAACAAACCTTTTTATTAGCTAGTAGTGCAATGTGCCTTCAGGGGTGACGCTTCTTCAAGGGCATATGCACAATGTGGCTGGTGAGTGAGCTCAAAATTAAAATTACCTAATGAATTTTAAAACCCTTTTTTGGGGGTGAATTTTGTTGAGACACCAGGTCATACTTACTCTTCTCAATAAGTGTGTTGGCTTTTTTTAAAAGGAACATGTAAATGTACAGTTTTCATGCCCAGAGCTCCACCCATACATGAGGGCCTGCAAAGGGGGGTCCTGACAACGCTCTATGCTGAATTCGGAAACTTCTTGATTACGCTTTACGATAAATTCCAAGTGGCTACAACGCATTATATAGAATACGCTCTACGCAAAATGCGCCAATTACGCTCTACGTTGAATTAGAGTGGTCCGTCTACACTCTACATAGAATTAAAACGGCCGATTACGCTCTACGGAAAAGGGCTTGCGGGGCCCCCATACATGGGGGTGGCTACCATCAGAAGTGATGAATGTAATCCCTTATCCAATCTGTGGCCCAACCCTGGGATCCAACCCAAACCCACCGATCCACGGAATTTGATCCATATGTTCAGGCAAAGGAACTGCATCACTGCTTGCGTCACTAGGACACATGATGCTATACTTTAATTTCGTGAATGTCAGCCTCGCATCTTTTTTTCGATACCACAAGAATTTCTACCACTTCAAAACAGGGAAGGAAGCACATCCTGTCAAACTCATGACAAGGAGGAAGTAAATTTTCCTCTTGCCATTTCCTGCTTGAAATCTGATAACCCTGTTTGTTCCTTCATCACTCTAGTCTACATTGCCTGTTCCACATGATAGGTAGCCTCTCCCAGGCACCATGGATCACTAGAAAAATAGTAGAAATTGGGTCGTGAATTGGATCTTCTCTGGCCGGCTACCTCCCCTGGTATACTATTCCTTTATTTCGGCCAATTTCTACTATTTTTCCAGCTATCCGCGGTGCCTGCTAGAGGCTACATTATAGGAGTTGGATGCTAGGAATGTCTACCCATCCAATGAAGCTTACTGTGAATAATGTATGCATTTGTGCTAGATGGCCAGAATATAGCTGGGAGATATATAAATAGCCTGCCACACCTGTACTGGTAAAATGTTTTTTCTTTTTCTTTGTAAGTTTGTTTCTCCTTTGTCCAATACCCATCTAACATACATTATCCCTTTTTAATGCACAATAAGAGCATTTCCCCTGACTTCTCTGTTGCGTAGCTATTTGATAAGTATTCTAAGAGGTGTTCCTCTTTCCAGCCTTTCCGCTAAAAAAACAGAAGTCTCCGAATACATAAGGCACAAATGCGAAGCCTAGTTTCCATAGTTCTATCATCAGTGTGCTTCCTAATTACGGAATGATTCAGATGATCCCTTGCTATTTGTTTGAGGAACCAGTACGATTTTACACGCTGTAGGAAATGAGTAAAGGATCAGTCAGACCATGCGACACCTGTTATTAGATGGTAAATACCTCTGCACAGGTATGCTGCCACACCCCGTATTCAACCACTCGGAGGAAAGCAAGCACCCTGTTTACAAAAACACTCCAATGGCGACAACAAGGCCGCCGCTCCGGTAAACAAGTCAGGGTTATTGAACTGCTGTAAATAGAGCATTTCAACAAGTTGCTTTTAGACTACACAATAGATAGTGATATACAGTCCTATACATACTTCTGTATCTGCTGACCGGTCAACAAGTGAAATTAGCCCTGGAACAACTAACTGGCATCAGTTGAGAAGTTTCTAGGGGTTTTAAGTTTGAATACGGACAAACTTTTGCAGTGTAATTCTGTACGGCAGTTTTGTCAAAAAGGGGAACAACTTTCCCAAGGGAGTCATTCTAGTAGATTTCAAAACTTTGAAAGGAAGGACATTGCAGAGGGATATGATATCCAACTGTATTGCTGAGAAGAGTTAGTCCTATTTACCTATTTACTTCCTCTTACTTTGGACAAAATCAAAACTGATCAAGCAAAAATGGGGCAAAACCTTTAGGTTGTGCACAGGAGTTAAAGATTGCATGGTAGAAGGAACTTCACAGCTATGCATGACAGCTCTTCTCAGGCTTTTCCGTGGTCAGCATCCATGGACAACCCTTTCAAATTAAGTGTGTTGGACCATTGCAGAAAGGTATGCAAGGCATGCGGGTAAGGGATATATTATATATCCAAACTTCACTCTCCAATGGCCTGTTGCACTTATAAGGGGAACATCTAAAGAAGAGTGGCCTACTTCTGCTAGCTGAGAAGCTGCACAGACCATACAAGCGACACTTTGCCCTACACCAACTCTTCATAGCCTCCGTAGCAGGCTTATAAAACTGGGGGTTTGGTGGTCTTCGGCTGTTTTCTGATTAGCCCAGTTATACCAGGCCGGCTATGTTGTCTATATGCAATCAGAAAATGGCACATAAAAGCTCCCAAAGACCATGCAGACCCCCAAAACCCCCAGTTTTTGGAATGCTATGGAGGCTAAACTCTTCATGACTTCAAGATGATGCCATTTCCTTAGAACCCACAAGAATTTCGTCTGGGGAAATAGCGAGGCTAGACACACAAGGACCAGCTTCATGTCCATATAACAATGGTGACTCATCTGCAGTTCATTTGTTCTCTGTTGAATTGGATAACACTGTACCAGGGGGTGGAATGTCTGGATGTAAACCCTGTCACGACATGGGGATTATAACTGTATACACACAAAAAATTCAGCTCTGCCTACGCCTACCAATTTAGGATCACAAGAAAACTGTACTAGATTCTCTTTTCATCTAGAAGGGGGCCTGCATGCCCTTTTTCGTAAGGCGTAATCGGGCCTATTCAGTCTTCGTAATCCATAGGCAGCCGTCCAAAATTCAACGTAATTCGTAATAGTACATCAATCGCAAAGCGTAACAAGAAGCCATAGGCGACAATTCTCCGTGAAGTATTATATATTGCAACAAAAAGAAGTAGCCATTGGCGACAATTCTCTGTGAAGTGTGATAAATCGAACAAAGAAAAATTGTTTAAACGCGCGTCGGCTCAGTCATCTTAAGACGCAACAACCAATCAGAGATGCGAGATGCCTACACGTGACGCGGGAAGGGCGCGCGATGACCCGAAATATTTTTGCGTCAATATTCAGCGCCGTGATTCAAGAGATTAATACCCGGAAACAATTTTTTTCTTGTTTTGAACGCATTAACATGCATTTACGCTAATCTAGTATGATTCAGGGTTACTTTTTTTTTAACCTGCCATGGCCAGATTATCTAAAGATGTGTGTATTGTGTGTACAATCTATAGAAAGAGAAATGTACATCAGGTCCGATCATCCGATTTTCACGTTTCGGTTTTTTGGACTCGGTTCATGAACGTATTTTGGTTTGGCTCCTGGAATGTGCAAAAAAATGACTCCCGGGACTGTCTACAGGGAACACTCGCACATTCGCGGTGTATCAGGACAGCGCGACTGGTCGTCATTAGCGCAGTAACAGTTGCATAAACGGACGAAACCATTTCAAAGAAATGGGGATGTTTCGAAAATAAGCATTTACTCCAATATCAAAACAGCTACGGTAAAAATAAAAAGACGTGCATCATCCCGGACATAATGCAACACCACATGCGAAATTACACAGAAATGCGACGTACGGAAGAATGCGTTTTGGCTGCGAACATCTTCCAAAAAACTCTTAACCATGGGCAAAAACATCTGGAACCACTTATAAAAACCACCCCGTATCTGCATGAACTTTTTTGAACCCCACTGCTATTCCAAACAACGCGTTTTTCTGGACCATTCCAATTCGCCTCGTAATTGTAGGGGTGCGTCTGCGATATTACATTGACCGCGAAAGCAGCAACGGCAAAAATACACATTCGTGCATCAACACGGGCATGCCCGCAGACGGCGTATAAAATTGCGTGCCGATTACACAAAGAGAACCCAGTGTTTTGACTGCGAACATGAAAAATCAGCCGATTACAACACTCCGTCCGGAGGTCCTGACCTCCTTCACGGAGTAATAAACTCTTGAGAATTTAACGTAATCCGTGGCAAAGGTTTTGCGTAATTTGAAATCACTACCCCCATGCAGGCCCACCAAGAAAAATTAACTGGATTAATGTACCGTGTCTTTGCAATGAATGTTGCACGGAATTTTACAAAACCTCCAGGCAATGTATCATTATCAAGCCAGGTGCATGTAATGGGCCACGCCTTTGACATGACAAAATATCGCTAAGGACTTATATGACAATAACAAGACACCTTGTGTGGAAATTTCCATCATGCGTTGGCGACGTGACGTCTAGCGATGTGTGCTCATACATATTTGAAAGCACTACCTCATCCATACCCCACAATTTGCTGTATTCACTGAAAACAGTACAAACATTTTCCATGTGTCTTTCAACGACATGCCTACGTGTTTAAAATGGCATTCTTCGAAAGTCAAGGGAAAAAAAGCTCTGTGAAAAACAGCATGCTTTAACGGTCAAGCAGAGAAGGGCTTGACAATGGCATTGCATATGCAATGCTGTTGTATGTTATACCTGTAGGATCCCAACAATTTGCTGTATTCACTAAAATACATTTGTAGTAGAAACACATTTTTCTGTGTGCCTTTCTTCGAAAGATGTCTCCATGAAAACAACATACTTTGGCGGTCAAGAGAAAAAAAAAGCTTTTGACTGGTGTTAAATTTAGGGTAGTAATAGTAGTTCTAAACTGAATCAACATCGCCAGTTCCAAAGCAAAATATTGTATTGGGAAGCACTAAACAGAAGAGAAAGCATGACATCCTTAGCGTGGTATTGGTGCAGACAACTACAAAATACAGAAATGCCTTTGTTCTGGCAGAAACTGAAAGCTCTCCCTGGGTCTTGTTTTTTCCCTTACCATTCAACGCTTGACCTAAATGGCGTAAGCAGTGGCACACTTTTAAATATGGGACATTTAACTCTGTAGAAAAGCATACCACGTGGGACATTTAACTCTGTTTTTTTCCGTGGCTTCAGTCAATATAACATGAAAAGCTAACTGAAAATAGTGGCATTTTATGGGACAGTGCCAAGTTTCTTATACCTGTTCTTTGTTACCCCTTTGTCCCACTCCACTAAATAAATATTGACGACTAACTGTACATGGGTCTACGGTCTACATGTTTTTCTGGGACACATACTGCAATATAGGGCAGATAGATAAAGAAAAGTATGGCACCACCCCCTACTAAAAGTGAAGAAAAAAAAAACAGTAAAAACTTAACAACAATGATCAAAGAAAAGTGAAGTTGACAAAACAGCTCTGACAATTATTTGGGGCGATTCCCCTGGAAAAAGGTAGCAAACTAGAACAAATAACTGGTACAGAAGATAAGGGATAAATTTTTATCAGGGCTTGGCATGTCGGGATAATTTCTTTGATCTTAACTTAAGTGTTTGCTAGCCATCATGTTTATCGGGTAAGCAAAGAAAAGATGTCCTTGAGGTCCGGAAGACCATTTGGCCACGTGCTTTACTGACACAGCTTCCTAGCCTCCATAGCATGCCAAAAACTGGGGGTTTGGGGGGGTCTTCAGGGTCTTTGGGATCATTTATGTGCTATTTTCTGATTGCATATAGACAACATAGCCGGCCTGGTTGAATTACCCCCGAAAAAGCACAGGCTTAGAACTGAGCTAATTAGAAAACAGCCGAAGACCACCAAACCCCCAGTTCTAAAAGCCTGCTATGGAGGCTAACAGCTTCCCTTATATTTGCTCTTTTCTGTCGCTTCTGTCGCATTAAATACTATACCTGCAAGTCACTCTGGACCTTTGGCCTAAAGAATTTCTTAGTTAAACAACGATAACTCTTGTATCTACAAGTGATTGATTAGCGATTACTTGTTTTACTACTATTCCTGGGGCGACAGCTGATAATTGTGTCCAAAGATCTGGGTAAAAAAAACTACAGGTGAGAAAAACAGGGGTACTGAACAAAGAGCATAGACTACTAGTACTCCAAGAAGAGGAGTCTTGCACTGGTAAAACTGGCCAAACCTGTTGTCAGAGTATCATATCTCTTTCTGCAAATCTCTTTATCTGGAAATGAGGACAAAGTCTAGCTGGAATTTGGTGGAAAATCTGTGAATGTTGGATCCTGAATATACAAATCATTAAAACATATGTAACGGAAGCAACGAATTGGATCCAGGAGTAGAAGTTGACCAAATGAGAAGGAAGGAAGTCCCACCCACAACTTGACATCAACTTCCTCCCTAGAGGTACTATCATCAAATTATGACCAGATAACTAAGAAAAATGAACAACATGGTGTATCATTATCGCTGTGACACTCTTGGAAAAGATTACAGAGCCCTCAAACTGATTACACCTTTTGTAATGAAACTTTATTGCATGTTCATTCCCCGGAGGGATAAATGCATGGATGTACAATGTACTAGAGAGTACTAAAACAATAGTAATATAAAAGGCTAACATTAGGTCTAAGGTATATAATGCTAAAAAATAAGATAAAAAGAAATATAAATATAAGTGGTATTGATCTAAGTTCTAATGGCTTCTTCTCTCTTTTTGAAACATTTTGAAATATACTTACATACTTCATTGATGACGTCTATATTTGTACATGATATAATATATTTAATCGTTGTAAAGGGGCGTGGGATCACACTAATAGCTTTGAGAAACAATAACTTGGTAATTACTAGACTACGGACACACTTTGAATTTGAAGACGTTGGTTCTCACGACTTGTCTTGCCTTTTTCTTTCGTAGTGGTCTCCTCGATCGAGCGTGTTTTTGAAACCAGCACTTTTGTTTTCATTTTTCTTCACGAAGGGCGGGAAAAATTTCACGTGGGTGGTATCATGTTTCTCGGGCTGTTTAGTTCAATAGTTGTGGTTACGAAAAATAAAACCCGTTCCTGTTTTGGACGATTTACGAGGCAAGTTTGAGATTAGATTTGGAAGTGATCGTTTGAGAATAGTTGTGCTAATGATCACCAAATATGTCCAGATCTGTCAACCGTCACGAATTCCCGGGTATGTGCGTATAAGCTTTACCTCGTACCTACCGGATGTGCCACATGGAAACTCTCACAAATTCGTACCGCATGGTGGGCGTTGGGAGGGGGGCATGTAGAGCACGATTTTCGCCAATTCCAACGTTTAACATGGGCAAAAAACGACTAACATCCAACCTTTACACAGACAGATACCTAGCATAGACTAATCATTCATTGAAGGGTTAATAAATCACCACGCGCCCAAAGCAACGGACTCGTATCGCACAAAAGATTGTTCAAGGAAAGGCGCCTTAGGCCCTGCCCCCTTAATTATGTAAAACTGAAAAATTCTAATATAGAAAGAGGGTTGCATATAACACAAAGCTTACCTTTTCCTCAGAATCTCGTCCAAAAGTCGCAGTAGGTGCCATGATGCTTGGTCGTTGTATAATCTTCAGCCAGGACGACAGAAATATGATGTTGTCTTGCCGAAGTCGTAACGATGAATGAGGCTTCGCGCGCTCCGGCCGGGACAAAAGGACCCTTGAGTCACCGCAAGGGGGAAAAAACGCGTCATTGGCCGGACGCGTCCAACCCTTAATTAGGCTAGGGGTGTGAAATTCTTTAACAATTTACAAATAAAGTACTAATAATAACAAACTTAGAATACTTGGCAGTCGTAATCTTAATATAGTTAATGATAAAAGTCAATTTAATATTCTGTTATGTATGTATTTGTCTATTAACATGGTAACGTTTTGTTCCGAGCGCACCCCTATGACGTAATTCATGGTGGTATGGTCTAGTGATCCTTTTGAATTATTCATGACCACCGTTCGCCAGTACTTTTCCACGACGTAACATGGCGCTCACGTGGCAACTGGAATTTCGCTTGTTTGGATGAGTAGCACTCAATACAAAGAAAGGCTGTCACAAGACTATAGGAAAGGGGAAGAAGAACCGTTGTATGGCATGGCTATGAGTTGTCACTCGCCATGGCGCTGACAATGTACGCCGTATTGTCCCTATGACAGAATGCCCTACATATGTCCATACACACTGTCTATTAATGTCCTTGTCCTGGTTGGTTACCAGAAGTAATATAAAAAGGTCATAGAGTAGGTGAACTGTTGAGTGTTATTGTCCTAGTGTTAGCTTATTATGTTATGGCCTATGTCATACACGCTTTGAATGCCCACCTCCCCTCCCACCTTGTTAGTTGTAGTGGAAACGACATTCCTTCAATCCTTGCATGACTCACTGAGTATGACCAAGGAAGTTAAAAAAGGGATCCTTGGTTATAATCCTTGGTATGACCACTATTTTTGGCGTGTTTTTAGGCGTTTTTATCGGGCTTTATTTTTTGCACTGGTATCTTGTTTTTACGCACCCCCCCCCCAATAAAGCGTAACATGTGTAAGAAACAAGAAAGCCCGATATAAGACCATAAAAGCATAAAACGAAAAAAAAAATAAGCCAGTGATAATCTTCAGAGTGTCCAACCACGAAGTCCCACATGTTAGGCTTGTTTCGCGCTTTTTTTTCGGCGCGTGGATGTAGCTTTCTTTCAGTGCTAGCAGTGCTTCTTGCCCTGCCATGGTTCAAAGTGCACTAGGGTGCGGCGCACGTGTGCCCGATAAGGCAGGGTGTGGCCTTCTTATCTTACGCGTCATACACGATCTGGAGAAGTCTCCACCAGACTCCTTTTGCAGGCTGAATAAATACCAGAGGAGATCGCCAACCCTAGTATGGTATCCCTGGCAGCTTCTCTAATGCGTGCTATCTAACGTTACGTTGGATCAGAAAATAACGCTCAACCCACCCACCCTAAAAAATAGTAAAGTGAATGACCGATCCCGGAACGAGATTTCACTCTACACTCTTCATCATGATTATTTATGATAGCTTTGACTTTTAATATGCATTGAGGTTATTATGTTTTTAGACCTAGCATCCTAAACTAAAACCTGATGATTGTTGAAGACGGATATCTGGCTCATATCTGTGCAAAACGACGTCTTTCCCGTCTATAATAGCCGGGCCTAATCTCCAAGCAGATCCTACGGTGGCTAATGGACACTGGGTATAGACACTCCCGTACTGTCTTGCCACCGTAGGATCTGCTTTGGGCTTGTGGGCCACATGCATATGAGATAGCAGAGAGCGACCCCTATGGCGGTTTTCGGTATTGCACGTCTACTGTGTGCCATTTCATTGCCGATTTGCATGGCACTCACTAGGATGTTTTCCATCACAACGTTTTCCAACTGCCCAAGTGTAGTTGCTGAGACGCAAAATGTTTCGCAACATATACATACTGTCCAAAATCCACAGATTTGTTGGTAAATATGTGGCAGCAATCGGTAGACTGACCCAAAAGAACGGGATCGTACATTTCTGATGCAAAAGGGGTTGGTCAAATTTGATCGTATGTCACCTAATGTAATCTAATGTAGCAGTTGTGATGTGCGTACACGTATGTAAATATCAAGGGGCACTGTCACAGTCTCGAATAGACTACCACCACGTCGTAAGTACGTATATAGCCTTTAATTCACAAAGACCTTGAATACTTTCGTAGACACAATCTCAAAGCTTAGCTGCCACCGCAAACAAATGCAATATACAACACGGTATCATCTTCAAGACTGCGTCTACACGCTTTAAATTGTCCTACCCTAAAAACTAGATACGTGTACCAAAACATATAAGGATTATAATAAAATACATACAAATAAAGTATACTTAAAATGGGACAAAATACTGCTGGTGGCTATTTGTAGTGTATAAGCATTAAGCAACGAGAGATTTGACACAATTTCTAAGCATCTGGTCAATTGTGACACTGTGACACACATACACACATACACACTCTGATTACTTAGATCCGATAGTGTTTTACACATCTGTAAAATACATGGAGTAACTTACTGTCAGTTCATTGGCTGAAAGAGCTTGCAACTGGTATTGAGAATTTCGGAGTTGATCACAACGGTGCGTTTACACGAAAGCAGCGCATTTCATTGGTCGGCACAACACCCAATCGGACGTACTAAATTCGCTGGCAATTGTTTGCAGGGATCCAGTGCAGTACGAATTACTTATTTTCAACAGATAAACCAAATGGAAGACATAATGATAACAGCAATGTTATTTCACAGTCAAAATTTACGTTGATGATATTCCAAATAGTATGTAATGAATATAATGAATGTCATGAGACTGGATTTTGGACGGATAACATGATAGTGTTTTTACAGAAAAAACATGTAAATACATGCGCTTACATGAAATAATGTAAATACAAATTTGTCGGACTTATACATGGATAAAAGTTGCTGATTGCAAGGCATAAAAAAGCACAGACAAGCTTTGATACTCAATAAGAGAAATCATTTGACACTTACGAAAAGATATTTAGTATATACACCTTTATCTTCTACATTGTCAAACTTAGCATCAATTAAAAGAGATGGAATGCCAATATGTACAAGATAAAGTACTTCAATGTTTCATTAACTAGAAAAATGTAATGATCACAAGATATTGCAAGTGTTGAAGTTAATACATGCCTATAGGTAAATCCAAGTAAACAATGTCTTAAAATCGTGTCATGGTATCTGAAAGCTCTCTTTGCTGTCGTTGGCAAATTGCATAACATAAAATAAAACTGTTTTCAGCTCCGTATATGTAGCAGTTACCACCTGAAGTGTTCAAAACAAATTTAAAAAAAAGTTGCAGTCATAAGCAAACTCTAAATATTCAGTATCCTGATGATATTTGGCATTTTTTGTTTGTTTTATATTCTAGACTATAATACATTTATCGATACAGGTCAGCGAGTCTATGCATTCCCGATGTATGCGGCCGCAAGTTAAATACCAAGAACAATGATAGAACATCTTTGCCTAGACCACGCTAAACATCGATCTTTACTCTCTATCTATATATGAAGATTTTCCAAGTATACAATATAATCACGGGGTTTCTCTCTTTACAGTGGAAATGGTCCTCTCTTTACAATGGAATGGGACGCGACAGTATATAGTAGTCTCCATCAGACTCCTTTTGCAGGCTTAATTAATAGTAGAAATCGGCATAAAAGGGGGTAAAATTGGCCAGAGAAGGTGGCCGGCCAGAGAAGCTCCATTTGTCTGCCTGCACGGCCAATTAAATCCCCTTTTTAGACCGATTTCTACTATTTATTCAGCCTGCAAAAGGAGTCTGGTGGAGACTAAGTATATAGATGGGGAGGGAGGGGTCACGATTTACAATTTCGTGGTTACAGGAAGACTGCCATTCATGTGCGTGTGCCCTGTTACAGAGAAGGGTACGCTGATGTCGTTGCGCGGTAGCGTGGTGGCTGTGGTGTAGTCTGGTGGCAGGTCGGCAGCCTTGTTGGGCGTCACGTCTAGCGGTACCTCCACCCCGTACTTGCCGGCGTACACCTTCATCATCTCCTGTCGATGGTCCTCCAGGGCCGGGCCCCAGTCTGGAGAAGGACGGGCGGCGGCCTTGATGCGCTGAAAAAAAGCGAATACGACTTGTAAATACTCCCATGTGCTATAGCTAAGGAAACACAGATGTGCGCTGCGCACAGTGACAAACTCAACAAAAGTATCTCCTGGTCTTGTCTAGCCTGGATGCCAGACCAGGGGTCTCGCCAAAAATTCTTAGGGGAGAGGTACTCCCTAATGGGTTGATGAGCAAATCAGAGAATTATCATGAAAATACTATGGCTAAGAGAAAATCCTAAATTTGAACATTTTGGGAGATGGGTGATTGTGCTCACCCTCTCTTTGGGGACAGGGTGAGCACCCTTGATTCATTGCTTGGGGAGAGCCATGCAGACCCATGGCACACTAGGTCCAAAGTTATCCAGTGACACTGTAAAACTTTGGGCCTAGTGTGCTATGGGTCTGTGTTTGAACTACTTGTACCGGCGTAGGTCAGGGGCTTTCAGAAATCAGAGTTACACACGTCAGTAAATCTGCCAGGGGGGGACAACACAAGCGAAAGCCGGTTCTAGAATGCAATTCTATTCGAAAAGTACCCCTGTGACGTAATAGTTCATTCGATACGTTACAGGTAAACTTGTGTAAGCTGGTGTGTTACGCCGAAGGGCGGTTATACCGGCTATACAGATACAGAAGCTGGTGTGTTACGCCGAAGGGCGGTTATACCGGCTATACAGATACAGAAGCTGGTGTGTTACGCCGAAGGGAGGTCACCCGGCTATACAGATACAGAAGCTGGTGTGTTACGCCAAATGGCGGTTATACCGACTGTACAGATACAGAAGCTGGTGTGTTACGCCGAAGGGAGGTCACCCGGCTATACAGATACAGAAGCTGGTGTGTTACGCCGAAGGGCGGTTATACCGGCTATACAGATACAGAAGCTGGTGTGTTACGCCGAAGGGTGGTTATACCGGCTATACAGATACAGAAGCTGGTGTGTTACGCCGAAGGGCGGTTATACCGGCTATCTACAGATGCAGAGACAGGTTCGTGTGCGTCAAAGTCTGACGGTAGTAACACAATGGCGGGTCAATGCCCCGTGGTGTCTTGAAGAACAAAGAACTGGTCTCTTCAGACAATGCAGTTGTCCCTTACCTCCAGCAGACTGCCCTTCTGCCGACACACCTGGATGACGGCGACCACGGGGATGAGGAGACAGGAGGACAGCCCCATCAGCAGCCCCATGATCTCCGCCCAGTTCGGATACTCGTAATCACCGTACGTCACCGGGTTGAACTGGACCAGGTTAAAGATCAGGATAAACTGTGGAAACACACAAAATGTATATACATCCGTGAATACCTGTGGTAACTTACTCACTGGCCCACCCGTGAATGCTTCAATCAGGTTGGTGAATGACTGAATGGCAAAAGTTCTTTAATCACAACCACTTGTTTAACTAAGGACGTTATATCAATTGTTGAAGCTCCTTGGTTCAACAAGAGCCGACGTTTCGGTACACAGTGAACCAGTCATAATTGCGCCGATGAGGATGCAAGATGATCATCAAAACGTTGGCTCTTGTTAGTTAAACAAGTGGTTGTAAATGAAGAAGTTTGCTAGTCACTCACTGGGCCGTTTCAGCAGCACTTGTTTATACGTGCTACGAGAATGATTTTCTACAATTCTGAGAAAGACGTGTATTTCATTTTATGCCGTCCAATTTTGATTGGGGTGCAAGAAGAACAATACCATTCATTAAACCAGTGAGGAGGAGGGGGGCACTCACCATCAGAAGGGCAGGAGTGATGGCGACCCAGCACACCTTGAAGTAAATGGGCGGCTCGAATCCCAACATGGTCTTGATGTCTTTCGAGAACCTTTTCATTCCTACATCAACATAAGACGTAGGGAGAATTGTAGCAGGAATAGAACATACTAGAAAGGTAACATCTGCAAAGCAAATGCATAATTACTTTCGCATGGTCTAGCATAACAAAGTACTCAAGTTTTTGGTTCTTACTCAAACACATTCATGTATAATATAATGTGACCAGCCACATTAACTCCATCCTGATACAAAATGTAACCCAACACCACAGAGCAACTGTGCAACAGCACCAGTTACCATGGTGACAGACGTCTGGTCCAGGTCATTTGAATTTGTTTGGAGAAAAATAAGAGGAAGAAGAAACAGAGCAAAAACTATATGTTTTCCTTCTTCGAGGGTAAACATAAAGAAAATGGACATGAAATATGCTTACAATACACTCATCAAGTTTTCTGTAAAGGGCACTCCGTATCATATGAAGTATTGATATTCACGATGTGCCCCCGTTGTCTGGCGGTCGAACTGTATCCAATTTAAATCCAATCTCCTCTGAAAGCGCACCTCTGACGCAAGGAGGGTTTCTCCGGAAATTGCTTCCCACTCAAACATTCAAATATCCGGCCCATCGGTCTAAACTGCCATCTCCGCTCCCCTTGGAGAACGGCTTCATTTTCTTTTCAAGATACATCTTTGTTGCGTGGGCGATGTTGATTACAAATCAGGGCTCGAAATAGTTAGTGCCCAAAATTTGTCCCACTCAAACATTCAAATATCCGGTCTATCGCTCTAAACTGCCATCTCCGCTCCCTTTGGAGAATGACTTCATTTTTTTTTCAAAGTACGTCTTTGTTGCGTGGGCGATGTTGATTACAAACCAGGGCTCGAAAATTCATTTATGGGAATATATAGGTGCACTGGAGCACACAAATGACAAAATTGGGTGCACAAGACAATTTTGGGAGCACCATCTAAGTATAATGTCGTTAAGACGTTATGTACGATGTCAGCGCGGCTTGTGCATAGTTTGGGAGCTTTCAAAAATTCCGATGAAAACAATTACTACAAGTATACAACAAAGATTTTAACGGTGTTATTTTTCTAATATGCTGTATACTAGTATACATGCATTTTGTTTATATTTTTACATAATTTATGTAAATCTACGAATACATTTGGGTGCACCAGTGCACCTACAGAAAGAAACTCGGTGCAAAGCTCCGTTTTTGGGTCCACCAAGGTGCACATGCACCCAGTATTTCGATCCCTGCAGTGACGCATACAGTATATATATATATAGATCTCAACAGGTTGGAGAGAGATTATGAAACCTGTATGATTGATGTACGATGTGGAATCGACGCAACTGCTCCCGATACCCCATTAAGGGCAAACACGGCGGCGTTTCATTAGAATTCAGAACCGGAAATTTGGAATGTACCCTGGAGGTTACAGTTATAAAAGACTAATAAACCAACACGTGGGCCGTATTTCCCAGTTAAAAACAAAAGGGATAGTTTTCTAATCAGATATGTGATTGAAAAAGTGTGAACCTGTATCCTGTGACAACCGCATGTAGTCACAATGACGTCTTCTGCATTCCATGGGTTTCTATTGTGAACAGAATGTTCTAGAATGCTGACCGGAGAATGCACTACATTCGAAGACTTCCAAGAGATTGACAGCTTAATTTTCGCTACAAAATATATATATCTTATTGGCATTTATTACTACCTACAAAGGAATGTGTTCAGTCATTGATAAATACGGCACGCAATGATTTCAGTATTTAAGTTGAAAAACGGACGCCAAATACAATTTGAAACGGACTTTCGGTGCATGGTAAAGCATTGACGGATAGCACTGTTGAGTACAGTCAAACCTGCCTATAGTGGTCACTCAAGGGACTGGCCAAATTTGACCACTATGGCCAGTGACCACTATAGAGAAACAGCCGGTTAGTTCGACCCCCCCCCAAAAAAACGGGAACACATGCTTTGAGCACCAACATTGATGTCTTTATTCTGAAACATATATTATACATACATTTGCAAAGGTAAACCCCTTTTATATGTACATGTGTTAGTTCAATAATTTGTTGTTCTTTTGCTTTAGTTGTACTTTATTTTGTACTTGCTTGAAAAAAAAAGAAATACAGAAATATTGCATGGAAACATTAACTTGACATCAAAGATACATACACTCAACATATTCAGTTAATCTATTCTGGGACAATGAAACCATTCACATAATTTAAAACATACAAAATCACTGGTTGTCATTTACTGTTCTTGTGTACATACTAGTACTACATGTGGCTAAAGAAAAGAAAGCAAATCAAGCAACAAACTTTCAACTCCAAACAAATTTCTATCGACTGCAAAATCATTTAATCTAAGCTCAGCTTTCGACGATTTCTTCTCACTCTCTCTGCCAGTCGAATCACTTCCACCTTTTGGAATAAGTTTGGCGTCCGTCTTTCCGCTTTCGCCATCGTTTCTCCGCAATCGCCACGTTACTAGAAGTTGTTGTTGTTAGTCGAAAAGTGGAAGAGAACGACATCGCCATGTTTTTGTTCTTTGGTGAACACTTGCTTCGCGCGACCGACATACGCCACAGCGAATTCCAACCACGTAAATAAGTTATTTTGTACCAAGATGCTGTCTATTTAGTTAACAGCAAAATAATTGTTCGTCAGTTGCCAGTTACTTTCCGTTTTTGGTCGTTTTTGAACATGAAAACTTAGCGAAAACTCTCCTTTGTTTACGGCTTGGGTTTCTCCCCGCGTGGGTTGTCTGCCTCTACCATTATGCCAATGTGGTAGTCAACAGAAAATTTTCTCCTTTCAGACTTATATCCTTTCTAAAATATCCACTACAGTGTTAAATTTACATCTAACATTAATTGTAGTAATGTATTTCAAATGTTTTCATAATGTAATTACGTCATTTGACGCTAATGAAGTTAAATAAAACTCGGTGTATCTACCTCCATAACAGTGTAGTCTTCCGATGACCCCAATTGACCTCCCTCTGCAGCCAACATGCGCCATCTTGGAAAAATACGAAACGCATTTTCGAGCCAAATTTCTTTAATTATGCCCATGAAAAACGGAAGATATGCACATATCTACGCATTTCAAGGAATCGAGAAACCAAATATGGATATTCTTAAGTTTTTTTGTAAAGATAATTTGCCGTAATCTTCGCCGAGCGGCCGAGTCCATTGAAAGCTCCATGCGGCACGCACGGCACTGGTGTTGGCGAAAACGCAGATATCAAAGACACCCGCGACCGCAGAAACTTCGTGTCAAAAGTCAGTTTTCCTTTATTTCATACACATATGGAGTCTAATTTTCAGTTCACATTTTAGTAATGTAGCGATCGGAAAATTATCACAAGGCTCATAACGGTCGTAGCCCGAGGTGGGGTGGTGTTACGGCCGTGGTGCTTAGTGGGTTACGGTCAGCCGCGACCGCTATCGGCGGTGTTGACATGCCGGCGGGACCGGAATGGGGTGACCGCTGACCGCGTTGAACAGTGACCGCTATAGACACGATTCTTAATGCTTACGTCAATGGGAAAAATTCAAGGGACCGGCAAAAACTGACCGCTATGGCCGAGTGACCACTATACAAAGGTGACCGCTAGTACAGGTTTGACTGTATACGTAAAAGCGGAACTTTAAAGGTAACAAAGTGCTATCAAATAAAAAAAAATATTGATGAAATAAATTTGTTCCGCATTGCCACAGATTTGCGCGAGACCGAAATTACGTAACCTTAGAATATAATTCCAGAGATTGCAAGCCAAATGACATGACGTCCTTGCGCGCGAGGAAATTTGCGGACAAAACATTATTGATGATGGGACGTCTTTGATTAAATTTTCACGAGGTCAGTCGCATGATGCAACTCTGCGTACGTTTTTATTCATTCCCTTATATGGTAACAGGAAGGCTTGCCTGGAAAGAATGGCGCCAACGAAACCAACACCGTCTACAGCGGTAGATTATTATTATTTTTTTACAAAGTTACAGCGTTTGAAACAGCACTAAAACTTGACGAGAATGATTTCAAACTACTAGTAATATAACGAAAGAGGCGTTCTTAAAATTATTCTTGTGCACTGATTGTATGAATCATTACTATTTTAGGTCTTCGGAAAAAAATCTTCTTCGCATGTTGCATTTAATGCTGTCTTCCCTGTTCAAGCGACAGTAAAATTGACACTTAACCAGTGAGCCTCTGTCTATCATAACCAAAACTAAAGACACAAGAGGGCTATTTTCGTGAGCGAGAAGCGAAGTGAGACATAGAGATACTATTTTGAGGACAGCGAACTCGCTTCTTGCACATAAACACGTTGATTGCGCAGTAGTTTGCAGACAATGTGGCACCGTCCGCCGTATTTTCCTTAGACCTTACCATACAATCATACGCAAAGCTTAAGAGGCGTCTTATGGTGATTTTTACATCCAGATAAAAAGTCTTGGTCTTTACATCAGTCATTATTGCAGATAGAAATTCAAAAATATAGTAGTAAGATGTCCTACCGTAGACGTACTGGATGGCGATGGTGAGACAGAGGGAGATGATCATGAGAGAGAACCCGGCGCTGTACCAGTCCAGCAGCTGAAGCCAGTACATCCCGGCCTAGCAGGGACAAGAAAAAAATATTTATTTTTCTTACAGGGCGGTCACAGTCATTGTAGGTTGTCGCATAATTTTTATGTCAAAGGATTTCAAAGCAGGCTAAGACAGTTTGACAGAACCCACCACCGACAAGGATCTAATACAACAATATGACAGCTAGCTGAAATTTGCTCGACTATCCTGAGAATATCCAGTTTAAAATCGTACAGCGATCACATGACGAATTTGCGTCCAGGTCGTCAAGCTTAACATCTAAAATACTTTTCAATATCCCTTAAAATACCTTCCTCAGGACATAATGGAATCATTATGAGCTATTTCTTGCAGCTTTTTGACATAGCCCCAAGGATGCGGTCTCAAACGTGATGGAAATCTAATACTAGTGCACCCTGCCGCTTTATGACAAATACTTTACAAAATCAGAATATAAATTCAATGCAGGTACATACATTTGTGGTTTGTGGTAGAGCCAGTAGGTAGCCGATGACACACAGTCCCAGTACGACGATGCTCTTCTTCGGTCTGAGATACTCCGGGTACTCGTCGATAACCGCTGTGATCACGGTTTCCATCATCGCAAACTTTGCAGGGAAAAGAATAAAGAATTTACGGTAATTTTCTAAGTCCAGAAATAGAATATTTCTGCTTCTCCTTAACTGTTAAGAAAATCTAGGAGAAGGACAAAAGCACGACGTTGGGCCCGTGCACAGAAATATCATTCATTTTTTAGAATATCTAATGCGGAGAACAGCAACAGTATAATAGGTATTCACCTGGCTATCCAACCCCAGAGTTAGTAACATCAGGAAGAACAGTATCGCCCAGAGAGTGGAGATCGGCAGAAGGGAGATGGCCTCAGGGTAGGCAACGAAGGCAAGGCCGGGACCTATAGGGGGCATACAGTTGTGTTAGAGTATCATTGGCATCTGCTTTTTGCTCCAAAGAACAATTCTGACGTTTTCTCTCTCTTCTACTTTGTAAAACTGGTGTCAGCGGTGGGATAGTCTGGTTTGAGGCTAGACCAACTTGTAGCGTTGTGATAGATATTACTGACATCTCAAGTTCAAAATTGAAGTTCTCGTCCAAGTCGTTGTGTTAGAGTGTCATTGACATCTCATTTAAAAGAACAATTACTACGTTTTCTCTCACTTCTACTCTGTAAAACTGGTGTCAGCGGTGGGATGGACTGGGTTGAGGCTAGACCAACTAGACCTACAAATTACTGATATCTCAAGTTCAAAATTGAAGTAAAGTTCTCGTGCAAATCAAAATTCAAACAAAGATTTATTTACCTTCGTCTGCAACCTTATCAACCGGAACGTCCAGCATGAAGGACATGTGGCCAATGATCGAGAAGATAACAAATCCCGAGAAAATGCTCGTGCAGCAGTTACCAACGGCGATGATCAAGGCGTCCCTGTTGACCAATCAGCAACCGTTTAACGTTCAAAGTGACCAATGATATCCAATGTTACAAAATAAATCACAATGATGAAAGCAGAATCACCTAGTTTATTTTTACATACCTCATAACATTGTTGTGGAACTTGTTGTAGCTGGACAAAGTCGCAAGGCTGCCGAAAGCGAGACCAAGGGAGTAGAAAATTTGGATTGCTGCATCTCCCCATACCTAAAACATAGGAAACGATTTTGAGTCAAACTTCACCGTCATCATCATCATTCAACCGCGACGGGGACATCGTCTACCTGATACCGTGGACCCAGTGTTGACATCATACTTCAAAGAAGCCACTGACAAGCCTCACTGGGTGAGTCTTATTGAGATGAGGAATACCAGAGTGACTGGTCGACAGTTCTAGGTGAGAGAACTTCTTTGTGTTGGATCAAATGCTTTAACCCTAAACTTGCTACATCTTTGTACAAAGAAATGCCGTACCTTGGACTCGGCTAGTCTGCTCCACTCGGGGATGATGTAGAAGCGGATGCCGCGCTCAGCGCCCTCTAGCGTGACGCCGCGGAAAAACAGGATGAACAGCACCACGAAAGGGAAAGTAGCGGTAAAATAAACCACCTGGAGGAAGGCAGATAAAAAATATTTTACTAGAAAGGTAACATTTGCAAAGCAAATGCATAACGTTTGCCTTCGCATATGGTGATATTGATGCTGTTACTCAAACACATTCATATATATGGTCATACAGGAGTCTAAATCCCTCCTACTATAAAATTGCAACATGATGTAGCCCAACACCAGTTACCATGGTGACAGACGTCTGGTTCAGGTCATTGGCCATATTGGTTTGGAGAAGAAGAAGGAGGAGGAGAAGAAGAAGAGGAAACAGAGCAAAAACAATATGTTTTCCTTCTTAAAGGTAAACATAAATAGTTAATGCACCATATCGAAAGAATGTCTTCACCTTGCCCGATGACTTCACCCCCTTGATGAGACAGGCGCCGACGATGACCCACGCCAGCAGCAGACACAGGGCCAGGTCCCAGCGGACCGTACCCATCTGGTCTATTCCCTTACTCAGCTGCAACACCTTGTGCCTGGAGGGATGGGTAACAAACGGTTACGACCGACAAAATTGATTGTATGTTTCTATGTCTGTATCGGTATAGCCGGTATAACCGCCCTTCCGCGTAACACACCAGCTTTGGAGGCACGCGGCGCGGCGGCAGCTAGCTATATTACACCGAACGACCTATTATACTCAATCTTTGCACATTTAATTGCAGGAGTGGTTTTAAGCTTTCTAGTGATGGTGCCGAAACTGTGTTTGATGGCAACTAGTTGCACTCAACGAAACTTCACGAGTTTTATCACCAAAGAATGGCCCGTCCGACATTACTCTCGTATGGATAAGCTACCGAGGTCAGTGTTGCTTGCAGTTGTACAAGGTAAGTGCAGCTATGTGAGGAGGTATCGAGAAGTACAACAACTTACGTCCAGAACTCATGACTGGCGCTGACGCGGGTGAAGTCTGTTGAGTTGGTCCCGTTGACTCCCAGCGTGACGTTTGTGCCATTCACTCCAAACGTCTTCCCACACTGATCAGTGTTCCACCACCTAGAAGTCAAGTATATCTCATCTACATTTTCTTATTTATATAATGGCTATTCATCGGTTTACAGCAACTGCAAAGTTCTAGCTACATGCAGAAGTCCTGGTGGTGGAAAGAAGATGCCGGTGTACTCTTAGACTATTTGCTGAGAGGGGTGAAAGAGGCTATTTACATCAGGGTCCATCACCCTTCACTCAACCGCGACGGGGGCCGACATCGTCTCCCAGATGACTTTTGGAGCGGGTACAAACTAACCAGGATGGTACCTTGGCTAATGGACAGTATGTAAAATCATTCTTTATTCGAAAATAAGAAAGTGACAAAGCCCAGGTCATTTCGGTCATTGCTGTACACATGTATAATACAAAAGCACAGTACAACATGTCACATAACATTGCACAATGATTGGTTTCACTTGAAAATCATTAGTTTGTCAGTAAATACATACTGGTTGCACAGTGTCCAGGGCAGCACGTTAGTGAAGGAGGCGAACAGGTAGTACAGGGCCCAGGCTATGATCACGTTGTAGTAGATACAGACCAACGCTGACACCACCACCATTGCGTATCCAACACCTATAGCAAAGACACAGGGGATATTTTGAGACGGTCCCAAGGTTGTTCAGGGTTTCTTAAAGTTTCCTACCCGCCACGCCCTTTGTTACGTCATTCATGGTTTTCCGTTTCCGGTATAGACTCGGAAGTGACGTAAAAAGCTGAAATTTTTTGTCAAAATATTTCCGACATTAGCGTTATGTCAAAAAGTGTTTGTTCATCACCGTTGTTAAAAGTTTGGCAAATTTAGAATTCAGCAGGATAGGTCACTTCAGAACAAGTGATGAAAACCTTTTGAACATTCCAAATGGCCCTTAAAACGTTCGTTGTAACCGTTTGACCACGTGACCATTTCTATTCTATACGTTATAATTGGAAGTCACGTGATCGATGTTTCCTGAGGAGGACTCCATCACGTGACTTTTACATTTCTTGCCCTGGCGCCTTGCAGGCGAAAGCACGTTTTGGAAAACATTTTCTTTTTTTTTTCTTTCTTTTTTTTTTACCAATATGGAACCTTGTGCCTGCACCTGCAGTACATAATGGTGGTCATATGATCAAAGACTAAATAGATATGTTTGGGGGTACAGCGGGAAGGTCGGATGTTGTTGGGCCGGGATGGAAAACCAGAAGCAGCGTAAATGATGGGCGCTTAGCCGTCCCTCTGTCAAAATAAGCAGAGGAGACGGACTTGGCAGGTAGAAAATACAGACGCCGTAAAAATCACATGCATTTCATGAAATGTGCGTTTTTTTTTTGTCGTGCTTTTATGTATAATTATGGTGGTACATCATATGTGTACACAGAAAGTTGGAATGGGTGGAAGTTTTGGTATCGTGTCGCCAAGACTGTCGATTTTTCGGCGTCTGCAAGAGCATTCACGCTGCAAGGAAAAAAAGAAAATCAGTTTCTTGGTATCAATCATGAAAAATATCCGTACAACTGATCCTTAGGCACATGACAGACAATTCCAGAATATTGCCAGAGATGTAAGCAGTATAACAGATCAAGATGCTCAAGATTTTGTTAAGTACACAGACCATGACAAATTGTGCTTCAAATCATGCCAAACGATTTTAACTCCCATTTCTGTCCAAGAAACCATGCTACCACACAGGGAAGTACACTAAGTTAAAATCTTTGATTGTTTTGTATTGTATCTTTTTTTTTCTTTAATACTGCAAAGTTGTGACTTTTACGCACATGCAGAAGACTACTAGTATTATTATTCATCAGAAATTTTGAAATTCCGAATTTCAGGGGGAAGATTACTTTGAGGGGTTTGTATGAGTTACAGATAAGATGTGTCAAACAGAAAGTGAGCACACGGGCGCGGGCCCCGTGAGCGGTTTGTGATGGGATGTGGATTGTAAACTAAGTACAGTAGCCACGATAGTGTTACGTAGAAACCTCATCATGCACGCAGAACGGGATGTAACTAACAGGCTGTGGAGAACTGCCAGCCCCTCGCGGCCTGCCACCACCTAATGCATGGTAGAAGTCCACCACAAATAATACACAAGAAACCGTTAGTGGTCACAGCCAGGCCACAGCAGCGGATCCGGACGAACGTCGACCAATCCCGAGGCGCCACACTGATGCGACACTCCCACGCGACCAATCGCGGTGGTCGTTGCATCAATCAGTGGGCCTTGATTGGGCGACGTTTTCGAGGTGCAGATCGACTGCTGTTCCAATGGGACTTCTCAGGGGGAAGCAAGGGCGGGGATGGGGTTTAGAGGAAAACTACATTCCCTGCTTCCCCCTTCTGCAAACAGGAGACACCACCGCATTTGCCTCCATTACATGATGCACTATTCCCAACCAAACGGTTTGAAACACATACATGATTCAGAAGCCGAGAAAACATTTAAAAAACCGATGCATAAACACAGTACATCAAATCGGAAACATCTTCAGTGTTTCTGAACCAATGGACCACAAACTGCTGCGATGAACGATTGTTTTATGGTAAGTAAAATAAATTCAAGATTGGCAATTGTTGTTAAGGTAGTGACGTTAAGAGGCTAGCGGCACACGGCGCCATTTTTAAAACGACCAAACGATGTTAAACCATGCCGTTTTCAAAATGGCTTACCGACAATGATAACATACTGTGTCTGCTGTGATAAAATACCGTGTCTGCTAACCACTAACTCTCACTACACGTATTAGTATTTGGTCACATCTAGCAAATTTGGGATTTCGTTTATTTTTTGGCGACGCCTCAAGAGCGGAGCCTGTAGTATAGTGTTAGTTTAAGTCGTCCATGGGTACATCACCAGTGCTATCATTGGAGAACAATTGCGGTATTTTTCTCACTGTAAGCAGATGTCCCACAAAGTCTGCTTTCACCCTCACTCACAAGGACGGCCCGTAAGCGACATTGTGTATTTCCGAAGCTTGAAAGGCTTCAGAAATGCCTTGGTCTGAAAATTCATCCCTGTGTGATTTTATACCATGAGATCATTATCGTTTCAACCTGAATATATCAATATCTCGTTCTGATGTAGTAGTAGATGTAGTATTTTTCTTCTCTTATGTGTGTGACAAAATATATTGCTAGAGATCGTTCAAGAAGAACATACTTAGGGTTTCAACTTTGTTATGTCTCAGTTGCTTGCGAGCAGTCCTTCAAACAAGTTTCGCCAGTTTTCAATCAACCCTCAACATTAAATATGTTTGGAGGGTCTGGCAAAAACACAGAGGTTGGCTCCTTTGGTTTGAGATGTTAAAATTGAACAGATGGTTTCATGCTACGATTGTAACGTCTTGGTGGCAGAAACATGCACGTAAAGACACAGACATCTGTGACAGAAGAGTTAGGTTGTGGTCTTATGTTCAGCCTGCTCTGTGTTTCTTCCATGATTTTTCCTGCACTCCATAAGAAAAGAAAAGAAATGCAACCTTCACTTTGGCTTACGAGGTCCCATCCCATTCCCTAAATCTCATTCAAAAGTGTTCAGAAATGTTAGTTTTGGTCATTTTTGGTTATTTTTTGGTCATTGTGGCCGGCAGTGAGAAGTATATAAAACAGAAAGTGATGAGTATAAAGTGGTCTGTTTAGTGTTAAATCAATCTGTGAAAAGCAATGGTTACAATATATGCTTCGAGGTCTTGGAAAATTCCCGTTTTTGCCATCTGTGCTAGCTGTGTATGCCACTCTTGACGCGGACGCCATTTTGAGTCCCATGCTCCTTTGCGCCCACACGAAGCAACCGTTCGCATCTACGTCATATTTACGTCATCACCGAAGCAACCAATGCATTTTGATTGCACGTGCGACTACCAACGTCATGGGCATTAGAGAATGCAACTGGCCAATCCAAAGTTACTGAGTAGGAAAGCCAAAATAATCAACCTTCTCCCTGCTGGAGTGGCCTTTTGGCGCCAGATTTGCATTAGTAACGGGGTTAGGCAGCAGGGAAAAGAATGTGTGCATTTCAGCTAAAAAAATTGAACGGCTCTCAAAAATTTGTTCGAAATTGTTAGATATTTGTTTAAAATCATTACTAAAAGTTACTTCAAAGCAGGTAAAATGGTAACAACGTTGTTAGTTTCACTGTATCAGTGGAAATTTATCCAAATCATACCCGGTACCCTCATGCATACATTCCACACTGCTCTCACCAAACGCACGTGACGCTCACTCGCAAAGGATGACGGGATAACAAAATGGCGTAGGCACCTTCATGATCTTTTTCCCACATCGAAGTCATGGTCAAGTGGCATTGTTGCTGGGACTGGGCCTCTGCCAAAACAGATCAGTCTTAACTTTAGCGTGGAAACGAGATGATGTATACTACCTTTGAAAATAGGGCTGACGTTCCAGATCGTGATTGGTCCCAAGCTGGCGAACTGTCCGAACGACAGTTCCATAAAGAACAGCGGGAGGCCCGCACACGCCAACATGATGACGTACGGGATAAGAAAAGCACCTGGAAATAAGTCGGGAAATAAAACATAAATATTTCATGAAGATTTCATTTTATTAGTTTAGCGAATTATAGATCTATGCATCTAATCTCCAAGCAGATCTTTCGGTGGCAAGACAGTATCAATTGGCCAGAGGAGTGTCCATTAGCCTTCGGTTGGGAAATGGATACAGGACGGCCAATGGATACGGTCTTTTGCCACCCAACCGAAAGATCTGCTTGAAGATTACTATGCATGGGCAAAACATCATTATCATATTCCATTGATTAAATATATTTATATAATCAGTAACGTTACATCTAACGTTATTAGCATTTATTACTTTCAAACATTAAGTCTCAGCTACTTCGTTCATTAAACAAAGATTCCCCTCTATAGCTATGTATCTATATAACAATTGTAATAGGCTTGGCAAGGGTAGGAATGATCTTGTTCTTAACTGTACATTGTGTGTATGTAACGCTACATAAATAAACCACATTGCCCTGGTAGACAACCTACATCAAATATTGTCCTAGTCCCACCAAATCGGCCAATCGGTACAAATAACTACTTGAAAGGTCACGCCATTGCACAAACGCACCTGTGTAACAGGTAAACGTTTATGGCACCAATAATATACACCAAGCACGTAAACAACCAATTGGCATATTTATTTTACGCCTTTTTATGATTTTTTTTTTGCTTTATGGTTATATCGTGATTGATCATTTTACAAGAATCCAATGCTCTGAAAACACCTGCAAGGTTGATCCAGTCTTTATGTATTGTAAATTTTATGTTCTGAAATACTCGTATATAACTCGTGGACTCAGGGCTTTGCTTCTAAGATGTTCTTCACCTATCAAATTTAGCCTGGGTGCCAGACACACAGCACACTAGGCTCAAAGTTATCACGTACGAATAACTCTGAGCCTTGTGTGCTGTGTGTCTGGCACCTAGGCTAATCAAATTCATATCAGTCCTAATCCTTCCCGACAGTTTCTCAGATGCAATTACTTCACTGAGAAACAATCTACCTACCGGTAACATAATGTATGTCCTAGATCAATATGGGAGGGTCTTAATTGCGTAGCCAGGAGGACGTGATGACTTTACCCACGGAACAAATTTGTCAGTCAGTAGCTGACGTATGCGCACACATGCGTGTGATGGAAAGTTACCTGTTAATAGTTAACTTTACACTTCTACTGGTTTCGTGCACGCGACTGGGTCGAACAAAGGCCAGTATTCTTTACAATTTATAGCTTTGAAATAAAGCTATAGATTCCAAGCGCACAATAGTCCGTTATACCAAGGAGGCCCATTGTTAAAGCCTCTACCAGGCTTCGGGAGGCGGCTGGAGAGAGTAGAAATCGGCCAAATAGAGATAACATGCCAGGGGAGTTGGTCCGCTAGAGAACACAGTTTGCCGCACCCGGGCATGTATGTTATCTATCTCTCTATTTGGCCGATTTCTACTCTTTCCAGCCGCCTCCCGAAGCCGAGAGGATACAATGGTTATACAGTTCAAATGTTTCAGTGAGATAGGTAGTCACCGAAAACGAGTGTTGAGTTCCAATGCATCGTGAGGCCCCTCACATTTACTCTCCAAGCAGAGGTTGGTGGGAAGATCATTACCTTAGTATATAATGCTCCGTTTATTCTGTCGCTAACCCCGCCACATTCGGGTGTCTAAAATAAACCAGGCACGTCCCCTGACCATAAATCAAAGCGTTAGATTTTACCAGAATTTTCTACACGCCATTGAGTTTCCATTTGAGGGAAACGCCTATCTTCTAAAGCAGGTACCCCTGCGTAATGGTACGATGATTGATCACATTGAGAAGAAAATCAGCATATAAGCAATCATGCGTCCTTTCCACGGAACACGTACGCGTGTTCTCTTTTGGCCGGGGCATGTATTAGAGAATGAATCATGTCGTGAATTAACGGAAGGACTGACCGATGCACAAACGCCGCTCCGTGTAGGTCAAATGAAGAACAAGCGGAAATATACAGAGCGCGCTTGAGAACTAGCCTCTATCAGGTTTCGGGAGGCGGCTTGAAAGAGTAGAAGAACAGAACAGAGAGATAACATGCCGAGGGAGTTGGTCCACTAGAGAGTACAATTTGCCGCACCCGGGTACTCTCTAGCGGACCAACTTCCTCGGCATCTTATCTCTCTATTTTGCCGATTTCTACCCTTTCCAGCCGCCTCCCGAATGCTGGTAGAGGCTACTTGAGAGCAATGCCCGGAAAGAATGTAAATTCTTCCCTTACCTCCTCCATTCCTATAGCATAAGTACGGGAATCTCCAGACGTTCCCCAGCCCGATGGCAAAGCCCAGGCCGGAAAGGATGAAGTCTAACTTCCCAGTCCAGTTCCCGCGGTCCGCATTCTCGTCACCGCCACCGGAGGGCTGGCTGACTTCGTTTCTCTGTAGAATCAATGCAAGAGAAAATTTTAAGTTTACAAATAGCATACTGAGATATTCAATGTTAAACACATACACACACACACCTGTCCTTGCTTAGTCTCTACCAGACTTACTACGCTGGCTATATATAGGAGAATATTTGCCGGGGGAGTTTGGCCGCCTTGTGGTGTGACTGGCCACGCAGGGAAAGAAACTACCTCCCCGCGGCCGGACTCCCTTGGCCAATTTTACTCTCTTTTTTTGGCCGAATTCTACGATCCATATTCCCTTAGAAAGACCTGGCGGAGGCTATCCTTGATGCTGAATAGGTCGCATATGGAGTAGAGAAGCAAAAGCTGCTGAAAACGCTTTGCTTATTTCGCTTTTCCTACACGACATACCTCAGGAATGTCTTCCCGACGGACTTCGTAAGACAGAGCCATGTTCCTATTAAGCGTCTGACGTTCACTCGTGAATTAATCGAAATAACGTGACACAGGTTATACACCTGTTCGCTACATCACGTCAATGTACCCAGCATTCATAGCGCGCTGGGCGGCGACCAATGGCAGGAGACCAGCGGAATTGCGCGCCAATTACGTCACAGAGACGCATTACAAAAAGCAAACATGGCAACAAATGAGGGAAACGTGCATTCTGTGACTCCGTTAATGATTCAAACGTTACGTCTAAAACGCGTCCGGCGCAACAGGTTCAAGTGTTTGATAAAGCTTAGGCTATTGCCGGGTGGGTGGTGAAAGTTA